AGGGAAATAATGTTTTGTTTCTTTTGTAGGTTCACACTGCCTGTAAAGATCTGTATCCTCGTAAATGTCCCCTTGGCCAATGTAAGGTATCGATCATACCTCCAACAGCACTAAACAGTATAGACTCTGATGGTACGTAGTACTGTAGTGTGTTCAGTGTTAAATCTGATCAAGCAGTGCCTAGTGTAGCAGAGATCTGTATAACTAAATAAGGCTAAAATCCTTCTGCTGAGCAGGTGAATACAGTCATCAAATTTAGATAATAGTATAATTTTCTGGTTAGCTTTACAGAGGATTATTTAACCAACATGATGTAAAAAACGTTTCTGAAAGTTCCCCCACCAGAAATTTTCTCCCATTTTATCTATGACACTTAGAAACTTTTCAAAACTTTTCCAGAGTCCTCAGATGAAGTGGGCTGATGCCTGCCTGGCATGCATCACTCCTTCTGTGAGTTCTCAAATGTTCAATAACTTCGCTTTGTGCAGAGCTAGCTGAACAGCTCCAATGCAACAGCTACTTTACCAGGCTAAAGAGAGGAATCACTTCCATAGCTTCTCTGAATTTCCTCTAAATCTAAACAGCGTAGGAATCCTGCAGCACACACACAAAAAAGCCAAACAACAAATGTTCAAAACTCAGAGGTGCTCTTTGATGGCTCAGGATAGAGATGCATTAGTGGTGGGAGGCTGCACCGAAAGGTGGGGAGTGGATTTCATAAGACATATCATGAAATCTAAGTGCTTTAATTTTATAGTTTGTGCTGATGGCAAATGTGGACCAATAACTTTATCATAATTGAATGAATTTTACTGTATGAAGTTAGTAAAAGTGATTGTTTATGCTGTATATACTCACCCTGCTTACTTGCTAAGTTGTGTCTTAGACCAGAGCATCATGCTACTATTTATAATTAATGATAGGAAGATTGTTCCATACGTGAAGTTATTTTTCTTGGCATTTAAATAAATTAATCAAACCATATTTTAAATTATGCATTCTGATAATGTGGAATTAAATTAGCATCCATCAATGCCAGGTTTTTATTTGTAACTTTAGTAATTGAAAACAACGTAAGTCGTTTTAATGTTTCCTGAAATGAATGTCAAAACCTATACTTGTGATGTCTGATTTTGAAGTGTTGCTGATAAATCACTAGTTCCTGGGCCGGTCATGTTAATGACGACATTGTACATTAGTACTGCTTATGAAGGGCCTTATAGAAAGCCTGCTGTAATTAGTTAAGACCTGCTTTGACTTTCATAAGCTTTGGATCACAGTTGTAGGTCTGTTGTTTATGGTTCTATTATAAAATAGAATCAGTCTGAGAGAAAAGTTGTCGTGCAAAGTCTCACCTGGGAGAAACTAAGTACAGTCACCTGTAAAATCTGTGAATACTTGTAGAAAGCTCAGATGTGCATTATCCAGTCCAACCCAGTAAGGTTATAGGAAAATTAAAAACCAAAGGCTTGTTACTGAAATATGTATTTAATTATATGGTAATATGTGAATATGAGATTTGAGAAGTATTCTAAAATGTTAATAAAGTTGTTCACAGTGAAAAAAACAATAAAGCTATTGTCTTCAGGATTTTACTAAATCTAGGCACTGAAAATAGTAGAGATTAAAAAAATGAACTGGTAAATCTTGAACAATTTTCTTTTCCTTGCAGAGCTGATACTCAATTTAGGATTTATATTATGAATGATAAAATGTACTCCTGTTGTCCTTCATCCCTTTCTTCCTCTTTTCCATGATTTCTTTTTGTGTTGTTCATATTAGAAAGCCTTATTTATTTCATTCTTTCTAACTATGTTCACAGGTTTCTGGAAAGCCACATGCCCGCCATCCTGTGCCAGTCCTCTTTTAGTTTTTGTTAACTCAAAGAGTGGAGACAATCAGGGAGTAAAGTTTCTTCGTCGATTCAAACAGTCCTTAAATCCAGCTCAGGTGTTCGATTTAATGAATGGAGGACCTCACTTAGGGTAATGACCTTGGAAATCTTGAGAAATCCTTTCAACAAAGGGATTTAGTGCAAAGTATAGTGTTGTGTTGTCCTCTCATTGTTGTTATTCTATCACCAATATCTGCTGTGACTTCCCAATTAAAATCTATGAGATAAGAGAATTTCAGGATTAATTCTGGTGGGTGAAGGGATTGTAAGATATGTTCTTTTTAGAAAAACAGACTTGAAAATTCAAAACCAAATCCTATCAGCCCAAGTGTTTTGAGGCTTTTTCACTGGCTTTGAATTCTTTTAACTGGGAAGGTTCAAAATCATTACAAATGTTTAGACATTTCCTGAATCAGACCCTTTATGCATAGTTGCCCAGGTGTGTTTCTTCCCCTTCATGTGCATAATTCAGATATTTCTGTGCCTTTGTTGTGAATAGCTATGGAATAAGACTATTGTCTAAATGTACTCTGTATCTTTTTGAATTCTGAACATGAATGTCAGTGGGGGAGTCTACAGTGAATTACGGATTAAAACATTAAAATTCTGGTCATCTGAAAGCAACATTCAAGATGTGGTTTAGGCAATGTATGCAAATGGTCAAGAAAATTAGCATCTCTCAAAATTTGGAGCAAGAACACAATTAAAACTGTCAGGCATTCTACAGAATTTAAAGGTTGATTGTTGGAGAGATAGGTATGAAATTTGCATAGTGGTGGCCACAACCCAAGCATCTTTGCACATTTGTAAAGATCAAATGCATGCACATTTTTTCTGTTGCCTAGCTTAATTCCACTCAATTGTAGCATTGTGGTCAGATGGCCCCTTAATACAGTTACAGCAACTAGAAATGCTAATTTTTGTACTTACAAAGATGCAGAATTATGCTTGCATGATAAAAACGTAGAAACAAATGCCAAAACCTCAGTTCAAACAGTAGGCAAATAATACAAATGGAATACAGCTGTGAATTTTTATAAGTAGTACTATGTTATGGATATGTTAATTAACTAAGTTGTAATATTCTTTTCATTATGACCCTGATAATCTGAATTTAATCTAAGTCCCTTTTGGCTAACATTTTGTACCTGTAATTATAATGATGTAGAGAAGTTAGTCTTAATTGGAGAGACAATTTTTAAGAGGGGACAGTCTGAAAAATACATCTGTTCTGTTTGCAAGTTCTCTTGTTTCATATAGTTGTACCTAACAGCAGCATGGGTCAGGAGGCTCACTTTGATTCTTCAGGTTGGTTGCTTTTAAATATTTTTCTTTGATTCTTCAGGTTGGTTGCTTTTAAATAAACTGCAAACAGTTTCCAAAGAGAGGTCCTTAGCAGTTATATCAGGTTAGGCTGATTTATTTTTTCTAGTTGATCTTAAAAGCAGAGTTGCATTATTTGAGAAACTGTATTTCTAGAGATTTTCTACTTTTTGTTAGGGTAGGAGAAATTGTTCTTAAATAGTTGTTAAAGAATTTTTTTTCTTTAAATATCTTCATCTTATTTTCTGGATAGGTACCTGCCTATCATATACAAGTGACATGTTCTTTAGAAAAAACATAAATGCTTCAAAAATGTGCAGTCTTAATATGGTGCTTTGTAGAGATAGTTCTGGGATGATACATATTCTGGAAAATAACATGCATCTTAAAAAAACATCTTTTTTTATTATTTTAAGAGTTTATATTTTCCAACTCTTCTTTGATTTTTGAGTTTAAATCCTTCCTGTTTTTACCTGTTGGCTGTTTCTTCACATCTCATTCCCCTTTCCTCTGTGATTCACCTTTCTGCTTGATCTGTCTTTCTTGTCCTCCTTTTCTGTACTGCCCATGTGTTGTATCCTGGAGATGTTAAAAGTCAGAGAACAGGAGGAAGAGCTGTAGGAAGCAAAAGCAGAATACAGCTTTAAGGATCCAATATGAAATATGTATATTCTTACATTGTTGTCATCACCTCACGTGTAATAATTGCCTCCAACAGTTCTTGCATTTAGTTAGTCATGCATTGGGAAAATCCCACACATGTTGTGGAGCATGTCCTGCTGTTGTGTCTTAACCTCTTGTGAAAAATCCCCAGTGGTGCCTTCTGCTTCTGGCTGAAGTGGGAAGCATAGAGCGGTTGCAATTTCATAGCTTATGTTTGGTTGGGTTTTTTTTAACATATTACTAAAATTAATAAAAGAATATTAATAAAATCCTGAAAACAATACCAGGGGAGGTTTTGTACATAAAACTTGGCATGTTATTTAACAGAAGTGTCAGTGTAAGTGGAATAAATAGCAATAGATGGGATGCAGAGAGGTTTATTAAGTAGGTGGTTGTATCAACATAGCCCAGAACAATTACAGAAGAACAATAAAGGTGTCATGCACCATATTTTCTTGTAACAGTTGTAACTGCTCTCTTGCTGTGGGACTTCACTGGTTCTAACAGGCTGTGTTTTATCTGCAGTTTGCGGTTATTTCAGAAGTTTGACAACTTCAGGATTCTTGTGTGTGGCGGCGATGGAAGCGTGGGTTGGGTCTTGTCAGAAATTGATAAGCTCAGCTTGCACAAGCAGGCAAGTGTCCATACTTAACTTTCCTTGACTATACTGACTACATTTAATTGTGTATGCTTGACTTGGTTCTTTATCATGTCTGTGTGTGGGCCAAACTCAATACTTACTGTTTTCACAGGTGTAAACGGGATAAGTTTTCTTTGGACTGCACAATTTGATTAACAAGCTTTCGACATCAACTATATAATTAGCATGTATTGCTTGAAATAACAATCATTTGTAATAGTTTGCAGTTTTTATTTCTGGTTTTCAAAAGTAGATTTGCTCCTGTGTTATGTTCCAGTGTCAATTAGGAGTGTTACCCCTTGGCACTGGAAATGACCTTGCTCGTGTGCTTGGCTGGGGAGGATCCTGTGATGATGATACACAACTTCCTCAGATTCTGGAGAAGCTCGAACGAGCCAGCACAAAAATGTTAGACAGGTAAACCTAAATACACATATACATGATTTATCACAAGATTCAATTGTGGTTTTTTGAGTTTCCAATGGCCTAAATCCCTCTTAGAGACTTAGTGTTTAGTGGTTTTCATTTTTAGGGTGCAGATGATAATCATCAGGGAAGCCAAGACAGTAATGGGGATAGTTCTTCAATGTTCTTTTTAAACTGAAGAGTCAGAGAGGAGAGCAGTTCGTGAAGCTAGGAAGCATGTTGTCTGAAGATGACCACAAGGTGACAGGTTATTGCATAGCTAATGAAGCTGCATAACTGGCTGTCACAAGATGTTGTAAGCATTAAGAAATTGTGTAGATTTGGGACTGTTTGGGGCAGTTTTATGGACTCTGTGCATGCTATTATATACCATTAAAGGTAACATATTTATTTAATAATTACCTGAGCTCTCTGTTCTTGGATGTGGGGAGAGCTTGTATCTTGTGCTTTCACCCTTCATCCTGAAGCCTCAGCTGTGGATAAGAGCTGGGCTAACTGGATCTTTGGTTTGATTCACTACTACTATTTCTGTTTGAAGCATTTTCTTACTCAAAAGCAAGACATCTTCCCACACCTTGTTTTGTCTGGTTTCCATCTGTGAAGCAAAGGAGTGATCCCCATTTTTAAAAAGTCAGACAAGGTGATGGCTATGTTATCCCAATGAAGATGTAATTGTCTGCTTATGAGAGGAGTATTTCTTACCCTTTTCCTTTCTCTCATCAGTGTTTGTGTTCTTGCTCTGGTTACAAACATTTGAGTGTCATCAAAGGGGATTTTGTTCCAGGTTTTTTATGAAATAGAGTAGAAAGTCCTTCTATTTTAAGCTTTTCTGCAGACTACTTCATTGTTTTACAGCAAAGTATGTAGAGAAATGCTTTTTGCTGATCCTTAGAAATAGTTGTTGACCTAGGCATTCTGAAAGATTCAGAGTTTAAATGATACTTGCCTTTTCTGTATTGAAAAAAAACTCAGTTTCATTTTTTGTTCTAATTTCAGTGGACTTGCTCCCAAGGTCATTTTTAGTGATTACTCGTTCTTTTCAGCAGGCTTTGAGGATGCTGCTGTTACTGGTTTCATACTATGATCTGTGATGTAGAGTGCTGTCCTTTTCCAGGGGGAAAAAATACATATGTCAATGAAGATGTTTCACCATTTACTTTTTTCTCATGCCTACCTCTCCTACTTGAGATGAAAAGCTAGTATTTTAGTGTTTCCTCTAGGAACGTCTGTTTTCTTTTGACTTCTGCAGTTAGTTTGCACAAATTCTTTTATATTGTGAATGTTTTGCTGGAAAATCTTTGTTGCCTGCATTGAATGTCCCATGATCACAAATAAGGCTTATCATCAAATCACTAACAAAGAATCTGAGGAACAAATAATTTTTGTGAATCGCAATGAACTGCATGAAGTTCAGCTGGGCCCAGTGCAAGGTTCTGCACCTGGGTTGAGATAATCCCATGCACAAATACAGGGTGGGAGGAGTAAGGATTCAAGACAACCAAGAAGAGAAGGACTTGGGAGTAGGGGTGGACCAGAAGTTTTGACATGAGCCATCAATATCGCTGGCAGCCCAGAAAGCCAACTGTATCCCTCGCTGCATCAAAAGAAGCATGGCCAGCCAGTCAAGGGAGGTGATTCTGCCCCTCTACTCTGCTCTTGTGAGACCCCACCTGGAGTGCTGTGTCCATTTCTGTAGTCCCCAGCATAAGAAGGACATAGAACTCAAGTGTGTTCAGAGGAGAGCCACAAAGATGATCAAAAGGCTGGAGCACCTCTGCTATGAAGACAGGCTGAGGAAGTTGGGTTGTTCAGTCTAGAGAAGAGAAGGCTCCATGGTGGCCTTATAGCAAACTTTCCAATATGTGAAGGGGGCCTACAACAAAGCTGGGGTAGGGCTTTTTACACTGGTATGTAGTGGGAGGACAAGGGGCAATGGTTTGAAGCTTAAAGAGATGAGATTCAGGTTAGACATTAGGAACAAGTTCTTTCCTGTGAAGGTGGTGAGATGCTGGCACAGGTTGCCCAGGGAGGTTATGGATGCCCCCTCCCTGGAGGTGTTCAAGACCAGATTGGATGGGGCCTTGAGCAACCTAATCTAATAGGAGGTGTTCCTACCCATGCAGGAGGGTTGGAACTAGATGATTGTTCAAGTCCCTTCCAACCCAAACTATTCTATGATTCTATGAATTATATCACCCATATGTGATTAGCATACAATTAAAAATCAAGCTGCTGGTTTTTGGGGGGTTTTTTTTTGGCAACTTATTCTGTGGTGTGACAATGAATTTTGTTTTTTGTTGATATGTTGGAGAAAAAATAAAATTAACAATCTGGAAACATAATATTTGTTACGTTTCTTTCAGGTGGAGTATAATGTCATATGAATTGAAATTACCAGCAAAGCCTTCTATTCTTCCAGTGACTGCAGAAGAGTCAGAGGAATGCCAGGTGGACTTTCACTTTTGTTTTTTATTAATAGACTTAATGTTGATTTTCTGGGATGACAATATTTATAACTGAAGCACTAGTGTGAAAAAAAGAAGCAGATGTTTTTGTGAATATCTTAACTGAATGGAATTAACGTCTGTTTGTGGCGTGTATCTCGAGTAATTAAGGTTTCCAGTTCTTTGTTATTTGTCAAAGCTGAAGGAAGAAAAGGAGTCTTCAGCAAAGCAGTCAGGAAAATTTATTTGTGAAAAAAAAATATTTTATACATATTATATGTATTATATATATAATGTTATAAAATAGTTATATATGTTATGTCTTCTGTAAGAATGTAATGTTGTATTATGTAATACCATTGTATTTTTATTTAATTATCTTATATGAAGATATAGTTTTTATATTACTTTATATAATACTATAATTTAGTGTTATGTTATTGTATAATAATATAATCTATGCTATAGTAATTTATATATATATAGAGTGACATATTTTATATATATCTAAAAGCAAAATGTTTGCTATCTTGAGTTTGTATTAAATCCAACATTTAGAAGACAAGGGTTGTATTCTGAAATAGAGAAGCTTTTCACAGTTTGCATTAGATCAGGTGATGTCACCCATAAAGAGATGAGATTCAGGTTAGACATTAGGAACAAGTTCTTTCCTGTGAAGGTGGTGAGATGCTGGCACAGGTTGCCCAGGGAGGTTATGGATGCCCCCTCCCTGGAGGTGTTCAAGACCAGATTGGATGGGGCCTTGAGCAACCTAATCTAATAGGAGGTGTTCCTACCCATGCAGGAGGGTTGGAACTAGATGATTGTTCAAGTCCCTTCCAACCCAAACTATTCTATGATTCTATGAATTATATCACCCATATGTGATTAGCATACAATTAAAAATCAAGCTGCTGGTTTTTGGGGGGTTTTTTTTTGGCAACTTATTCTGTGGTGTGACAATGAATTTTGTTTTTTGTTGATATGTTGGAGAAAAAATAAAATTAACAATCTGGAAACATAATATTTGTTACGTTTCTTTCAGGTGGAGTATAATGTCATATGAATTGAAATTACCAGCAAAGCCTTCTATTCTTCCAGTGACTGCAGAAGAGTCAGAGGAATGCCAGGTGGACTTTCACTTTTGTTTTTTATTAATAGACTTAATGTTGATTTTCTGGGATGACAATATTTATAACTGAAGCACTAGTGTGAAAAAAAGAAGCAGATGTTTTTGTGAATATCTTAACTGAATGGAATTAACGTCTGTTTGTGGCGTGTATCTCGAGTAATTAAGGTTTCCAGTTCTTTGTTATTTGTCAAAGCTGAAGGAAGAAAAGGAGTCTTCAGCAAAGCAGTCAGGAAAATTTATTTGTGAAAAAAAAATATTTTATACATATTATATGTATTATATATATAATGTTATAAAATAGTTATATATGTTATGTCTTCTGTAAGAATGTAATGTTGTATTATGTAATACCATTGTATTTTTATTTAATTATCTTATATGAAGATATAGTTTTTATATTACTTTATATAATACTATAATTTAGTGTTATGTTATTGTATAATAATATAATCTATGCTATAGTAATTTATATAGAGTGACATATTTTATATATATCTAAAAGCAAAATGTTTGCTATCTTGAGTTTGTATTAAATCCAACATTTAGAAGACAAGGGTTGTATTCTGAAATAGAGAAGCTTTTCACAGTTTGCATTAGATCAGGTGATGTCACCCAACTTTCTCTTTGTTGTTTCAGAGACCTGGAAATCATAAGTGACCTCAAACAAAAGCTTAGTCTGTCTTTCAGGCTAGATTTGTGCTTATACTACCTGATGATGTTTTGATTTTGAGAGAGAGGGGGTTGATTTAATCGAATTGGCATGAACAGTCTGCCTAAAAAGGAGAAAGTAATTTATTCCACATAAAATTAATGCATATCAACTATAGCTCAGAAGTACTTGAGAAGCAATAATTAATCAGCAGGTTCTTGAATAATTTAATAATTCAGGCTGTTTTAATTGGCAAGGAGGTTATAACCTCTGATAGATTGCTGGATACAGAAATGCAAAAAGGCTGGGGCTCCACTGGCTGAGATTTTAATGGGGTTGCTTTGCACACAGCTCTGTTTCCAGTGTCAGCAAGGCAGACCTGAGGCTTTGTCTTTTGTAATTTTTCAATTTTTGGATGTATCTTCATCTTGTAGAGGAAAAAATATATGCTTTGTTGTAGTTGGTTCTGACTTCGAATTCTGTTTAGCCCTTCCTGAAAATGGAAGGAAATACTCATATAAAACTACTTTCTGGGAGAAGGTTACAGTTACCTGCCATTACTCTGAGTTAGTGTCCTGGTTTGACAGTTGAACACAACCATTTTCTTTTAAGTACCCTGTTCAAATGTTTTTTTACATAGTTTATTGTGGAATCATGGAATGGTGAGAGTTAGAAGGAACCTATAGAGATCATCTAGTCCAACTCGCCTGCTAAAGCAGGATTCCCTAGAGCACATTACTCAGGACTACATCCAGGCAGGTCTTGAATATCTCCAGAGGAGGAAACTCCACAACCTCCCTGGGCAGCCTGTGCCAGTGCTCTGTCACCCTCACACTGAAGAATTTTTTCCTCATATTTAAATGGAACTTCTACGTTGCAGCTTGTGCCCATTGCCCCTCATTCTGAAACTACTGAAAAGAGTCTGGCTCCACCTTCCCTGCACCCCTTTAGATACTTATAGCATTAATAAGGTCTCCACTCAGCTTTCTCTTCTCTAGGCTAAAGAGTCCCAGCTCTCTCAGCCTTTCCTCATAGGAAAAGTGCTCCAATCCCCCAGTCATCTTTGTTGCTCTCCACTGGGCTCTCTCCAGTAGCTCTCTGTCTCTCTTGAACTGTGAATCCCAGAACTGGATGCAGAATTCCAGCTGTGGCCTCACCAAGGCAGAGTAGAGGGGGAGCATGACCTCTCTTGACCTACTTTCCATGCTCTTCCTTATGCACCCCAGGATTCCATTGGCCCTCTTGGCAGCAAGAGCACATTGCTGGCTCATGGATAATTGAGTATCTACCAGGACTCCCAGATCCTTCTCCTCAGAACTGCTTTCCAGCAGGTCCACTCCTACCTAATATTGGTGCATTGGTTCTTCCTCCCCAGCTGCAGGACCCTACACTTGCCCTTGCTGAACCTCCTTAGGTTCTTGTCTGCCCAACTCTCCATCCTGTCCAGGTCATGCTGGGTGGCAGCACAGCCCTCTGGAGTGTCATCTACCCTTCCCATTTTGGTATCATCAGAGAACTTGCTGAGGATACACTCTGTCCCCTCGCCCAGGTCACTGATGAACATGTTGAACGAGACTGGATCATGTATTGACCCTGGAGAACACCACTCATTACAGGCCTCCAACTTGACCCTGATCCATTGATCACCACCCTCTGAGATCTGTCACACAGCCAGCTATTGATTAACCTCACTGGCCGCTCATCTAGCCCACACTCCCATAACACTGAGTTACGATATTTCAGAAAAAGTATAATTAACCTTGCAGTAGGTAATGGATTAAAGCACAGTTTGAAAAGTAAATAAAAGTCCACATCCTATTACTTATTTTTTCTCTTTCATCCCAGTTCAGAAGACTGATTTCACTTGGTTGGATTCCAGAAATCATATAGTGGTGTTTGAACAGTAGTTTTTTCTTACAGATCAGATGGTTATGTCTTGTTTTTGTCCTTGAAATGAAAACTGATTTACTGTCAGGTTTCTTCAACTAAAACTGGGTATTTGGGGGGGAAAAAAGGGTAGTATATCTACCTGCTCCATTTCAAGGGCAAAAACACACTAAGAGATTTTAAGAGCTTCTTAAGGGAAGCCATAAAAACTTTCAGAACTACATTTATTTTTCTCTTTAAATTTAGAATTTGGTTAGAATTTTCTTTTAAAATGGACATCTGCTTCCATATCAATTTTGAGAGTGGATATAGTGGGTGAGAATGTATTTCTGATCCATTCCAACCATTTCCCTGAGTATTTCAGAACTTCCAATTCTTCTGTGCAAGAGAAGACGGACGGTGCACACATTCATCCTCTCAAAGATTCGCATGAAGACTAAACTCTACAGGGTTTGCTCCTTACAGATTGGTTTTAATAATGTTATACCATTCAGCAGCTTTTGTCAGTAAGGGTGCTTTGGGAGTAAGATGTCATCTGACAGTAAAAAAAATAGCTCTGGATTGTAACTGCAAATTTTTTATTTATTCTTAGTTGAGCAGTTTATTTTGAGGGACACTTTACTTGATTAAGAAATAAAAAATGTTAGATTATAAGAATTTAGATTGCTATCAGTCTAAAAGGAAGTGGTTTTTTTCTGCCTCATGGGCTATTTTTAGCCTTGAAGTAACTTTCTGTGTCCTCTACAGAAGGAGCAGAACTGTGAATCAAATTTGCAGTCATGGTATTACTTTGAATAGTGAAAATATGGTACATAAAATACAGTAAGCAGGTAGGAACTGCACTGCCAGCTCGTTTTCCTTGTATTAGATCTGAAATGAAAATTCTGCTTTTTTTGAGATGTTTCAGTTCCCTACTTGGTGTTAAACTGCTGAAACACATGAAAAGTGAAGTCTTCTTTCTCTCTGTTTTCAGATATCTGCTTATGAGGACTCAGTTGCTGCTCATCTTGCAAAAATTCTCAATTCAGATCAGCACTCAGTTGTCATATCATCTGCCAAGTGAGTTGACTGGTTTGAAGTACTCTATGAGGAATAAATCCCCTGTGTAACATCATCACCATAAAACCCTTCTGCCTAAGCCTGATTTTCTTATGGCTGGCCTGACTGCCTTGACTTAATATATCTTGATTTGTATCTTTTAGAGTGGATGTCTTTTTCTGCCAAATTTTCTTGTGGTAAAATTGTAATGTATAGTTTAATACTAGACACATCAAATATTTTTTTTAAAATCCCATAATATTAATATGCAGTTATTTTTAATCACTCCAAATCAGAGTGCAGCTTAAATATGAAACACACCAGTATTAATACAAATATGTGATCTACTTCATATTACATTTCTTCTGTTTTTTTATGCATATCCATACCAATATGAAGGTGAACATTGAGCTAGGTAGCTTTGTCATAGCTCTGTCTGTATCAGTTCAGTAAATAATGGTCTCAGACAACAGATCTTTTTTCCTCAAACTGAAACATTTAAAAATGAGAGATAATTTACTTGGCAAATCATGCACATAATCTGAAACCAGAAGTATTCTCTGTATAACTTCTCTGTGAAAAAAAATCTTGTATTTTAGGATATGCAAAGAGCAGTCACAGAGTCTTAAAATATACAGCTGAATGTCATTAGATTTATCTTTTTTTTTTCTGCTAAAAGGACATTAATAACATTTCATTTTTTAAAGTATACTTAGTACATGTTGAAAATTAACTCCAAATTCTAAACTGGGTCTGTACCTTGTTAAATCTATTCAATTTCTCTCAAATAGATTTCCACCAAATTGACAGTACCAAGCAATTATCCACACCTCATTAGTAAGTTTACTGTCTGTCTGCAGTGTTAATAAGAACCAAGTATTTCTCTGATTTATGCAATGAAAGTTCATTGCAGCCACCACAGTTTGCATAGATACACCTCAGGGTCAGCTGTTGTTCAAAAGCCTGAGTGGTGCAATGCGATGTGTGTGGCCATATCCTTGCTTTTATCTAAGAATTGCTTCCTTAAAGGAAGCAGATTTTCTCCATGGTTTCTGGGCTCCATCTTCACACACAAGTTTGCAAGACTGTGTTTGAAGTTAAAAAAGTGAAGGCAAGTTTGCTAACTCCTCTGGTATGGAAGGTGTTTAAGTAAGGGAATGGATAAAATTAGTCGTGCTTATTTCAGTTCTCAGAAAGAAGAGACTTAGATACAATGTGTGCAAAGGCTTAAATAAAAGGGGCAAAGATTTTATTTCAATGCCAGTCACTTGAATTTTGCAAGACATGGAAAAGAGTATCATCTGTTTTGCAAGTATGACCAACAGAGTTTAGTCCCTGATAAGAACGATGTATAGCAATATGCACATAAATAAATTGCTTTAAAAATTTAATATTAAAAATGTAACTATTTAACTTTATTTGATTTCTTCCCTCTCCTTTTTTTATCTGAAGAATATTATGTGAAACTGTAAAGGATTTTGTTGCCAAAATAGGGAAGACTTATGAAAAACCAGTGGAAAATGCAGAGGAAGCTGATGCTATGGCCATTAAAGTAAGATTGTGACTATGTTCTGATTTAAAGACGTGAGTTTGTGTTATAGCTCATAAGTTTTTAATTTTTAAACCTCTCCAGGATGCCCAGTTTGGCTTCTATTTCAACCACGACTCTAAAATTCTTCTCTTCTTAGTCCATAGAACAGTTATTTCCAAGCTATCTCCAAACTTTAAGATCTCTGTAAACTCTGTTTACGCGTCTTTTCCTTCAGAAAAGATAAAATACATGGTAACATATACAGAGATAAATGGAAATATTCTGCATTAGGACTACACTTTCCTCTGAAAATGATAAAGTTAGCTACTGGAAAACAAAGGGATGAGGAAGAGAGAGTAGGCTGGGAGAATGAAGGGAAGAGAGTGTAAAAAATAATGGCTTAAGCTGCAAATTGTAAGAGAACATGTTGCAAAAGCATGGGGAAAAAAAACAGAAGGATTTGGTATGAAGCACAAAATTTACATGAGCTTTAATAAAGAAAATGAAATCGCTAACAACACTGAAGTCATAGAATGTACTTGCTAAATGGCAGTTTGTCGTTTGCATTTCTATTTCGTGCATATTTTAGAAAATAAATTTATCTTTTTTACTGTTCCAAGGCCAGACAGTGTTGGTTTCCTTTTACTTAAGCACAGAAAATCACCTCTCTTACAGCCTACCTAGGGGGCAACTGCTGAGTTAGGCATAGAGGTGTCTGACAGTGTTTGGTTCTGGCTTGAACCTCTTTGCTCTGTGACAACTCACTTGCTTAAATGTAGAGCCTGGTGCATCTCAGTCTAACAGCTGGCCAGGTCCCCATGGAGAATCTCTCGAAACTGGAGTACTGAGCACCCATAAACTCTTACAATGCATGATACGGGCAAATCCATGGTTGTTCTCTATGCTGCAGGCCATCAGGAGAAGAGTAGGATCTAATTTATACCCTTGACATGTGGCAGGCTAAGTTCAACACAGTGTGTTATTTTTACTCTTAATTTGGGGGGGAGGGGGATTGTTACAACAGTTCTAATCTGCTTGAGTGTCATAGGGTATGTCTGCAAAAAAGCCATGCAGATTTACTCATCATCTGATATTGCAAAATGTTGAACCTAGGTTTGGCTTTTACATAAACAACTACATAAACACTTCAGACGTTGGCAATTTAAAATATAATCTGTACTTTATTTCCTCAAAATGTTCACGTGTTTACTGAGTGATTTTTTGTGTGTTTGTATTTTCCACTTTGTTTTAGTGCTCAGAGTTAAATGAGAAGCTAGACTTACTGCTCCAGGCTCTTCATACAGAAGCCCAGGCTGCTCCCATTCTCCCAGATATCACTCCCCCCATTGTGGAGGAAGAAGGAGAGGAGTTTTCAAGTGAAGAATCCTTGTCTGAAAGTAAAGAGCTATTACCAGAGTGTGTCTCAAAGTCTTCCACCCAGAAACTCTTCAAACCAAGGGAACAGTTAATGCTCCGGGCAAACAGCTTGAAGAAGGCTGTGAGGCAGATCATTGAGCAAGCAGAAAAAGGTTCACATCAGCAATGTTTTGATCCTTATGATAATTTATTTTTGTTTTTTAAAAAAAAAAACAGCATTAATTTTCATTAATAAAGTTCAATTTCTACATTATTGCATAGACAAATGCCATCTGGTACTTGGTACAAGTCTCAAGGAAAAGAGATGCAGCTTGTTTGGATGTTGATGACTTTCTGCACATATGATTACATGTGTATGCACGTGTAAAACTGCTTCTTTCATAACTATTATCCTCCACAAAGTGAAGAGTTCTCACAGGAAATCTTTATCAGTGAGCAAGTGATTGCTAGACTCTTTTTCACTGAACTGAAAATGTAAATATTTTATTAATATTAATATTAATATTTTTAAACCTAAAGGTACAGAAACAAGAAGTCAATTTTCCATGTATGCAGTTTTTCTCTAAAAGCCTTGACATGTTCTGTCTTTGTTTTTTAAATAAGCAGTTGTGGATGAGCAGAATGCTCATAGTGAAGAACAAGTGAACCAGTCCCCCCTAGAATATAGCAAAGAATTGGATGACTCCAAAGAAGAGGAAAAAGAGGAAGATACAAAGGAACTTGAGTCCCCATCAAGTGAGTAAATCAGAAATAAAATAATTTAAAATTATACAGTCTCCTTGTAGTTGCATTGTGGAGCATAGTTGCCTCCATAAATAAAAACAGTATGATTCTGTTTCACTGGAAACTAGTCACACATTTTAATAGATTTTGATAAATTAAACTTGAAGGAAAAATGCCGAAGCGGAAGTGAACAGTCTTTTGGGGTGGATTTACAAAGCTGAGGTGCTTGTTGGGGACAAAAGTCCCTGCATTTAATCCAGTATTTACACTCACCTTTCTATATGAACGTGAGCAGGGACTAGAGCCTGAGTAATGGTGGCTCAGTTGTGGCATTTTAGGGTACATTATAGGAGTTTCTGCCAGTCATTTCTGCTGAAGGGATTTCAAATTGTCTGAAATGTATTTACCCATTGTATTGACAATGAAAATCTGATGTCTCTGTTGGGAACTTAACTTGAGACAATTACTGAAACAGATAAAATTAATATTTAAGTCTTCTATATGAAGATGAACAGCATCAAGCAGGAAAGAGAGTAAGATCATCCGAAACATGGAAGTCTCTTGAGAGTACTGAGGTCACCCCCTCTATTTGTCTAATCCAGAACAGAAATTTGAAGCAAGGTCTTTGTGATCCTAGAGCTCCTTTCCATGAAAAACTTACTGTGTTGCTGTTCAAAAGACAGATCGTTAGTCCAGCAAGATCCATGAGGCTATTGGCTGCTGTATAGCAAGGCATATAGCAACCCATTATCATCATCATCAAATGGTTTGGGTTGGAAAGGACCTTAAAGACCGTCTAGTTCCAACCTCCCTGCCATAGGCAGGGACACCTCCCTCTAGATTAGGCTGCTCAAAGCCTCATCCAACCTGGGCTTGAACACTTCCATGGATGAGGCATCTACAACCTCCCTGGGCAACCTGTTCCAGTGTCTCACCACCCTCACAGAAAATAATTTCTTCCTAATGTCTAACCCAAATCTATGACAAGGTAAAATCTCTCCATGTGTCCTTTATGAAATCTGCAGTGAGTGGCTGCAGCGGAAGAAGGAAAGATGGTTTGTCTATAGGGGACCCTCACTTACCTCCTCACTTGTTTGGTTTTGTCACCGAGACAGTCCAGCCAGAGGTCATGGTTCAACCTTTTCCATCACAAATGGCAATACTGCATTTTGTGTTGATCTGCAGATCATGTACCAGGGTTGTACAAGAGTCTCAAGCTGCTTAGTAATTTTAGGAAAGCTGCTTCTTACTATGGGTGGAAATTTCAGTCTTTGCCATATTACCAAAGATGGCAGTGATGCACTACAGGTGAGGTCTTGAGATTATCTGCAAGTCATGGAGAAACAGTGGTAGCTGGTGAACAGCAAAAACTGTCCTCTAGATACCTGGTGAACAACTTTCTGTGGCAAAATGAGCAGTTGTTTGGGATTTGCATCTCCTTCTGTTACCCTAACCCACATCAACGTCCTCAAAAGGTGTCTTCATGAGGCTCTGCTCTGAAGCCGGTGCCTGTTTTGGTAGCTCTTACCTTGGAAAAATGACATTAGTCTTTTAGGGCTTCTATTGATTCAGAATATCATCTTTCCTTTTCTCCAGGATTTCAGGCTTTCTCCAGCGACCTCTCTTCATTGGTCCCTCTCTTTTTTCCTTGGTTGTAGGAATCAATGCATGATGTCCAGTTTTAGTAGGAGCTCACAGAGGATGCTGGCCCTAGGAATGACTCAATCCTACTGTTGTAAATATGTAATAAAAAGATACACAGATATATATATCTGTATGTAGAAATAGATATAAACTCCTTGCTTCTTGGAGATCCAATTTCTGTGTTTATTGGGGAACTGTGTTATTCTTCATACATCTGGTGTGTGTGAAGTAGAGTGCATATTAATGCTGTCAGTGGAAGATAGGTGTTTAGGGACAAAGCATGAAACATGAATTCAATTATCTGCAATGAAACATCAGTTTTACTCATGTTGTTTTTATTACAGCATGAACAGCAACAGTTTATCTTTATTGCAGTTATTCCCATGAGTCTCATCTGTCAAATAAAGACCAGCTGCTCTGCTGATTTTCTTATTTAACGTAACTGCCTTGTTCCCAAGTACAGAGAGGACAGACTCTGAACAGCATTGTGTAATTTTCAGTAGCATTATGAAAAATGAATGTTATTTTTTTTCTGAATATTACACCTTCCAAGAATCTTCCTGGTCATTTGAGGAAGATGATATTTTTCCATATGTTAATTAACTTTGTCTAAAGATGTAATAGCTCTTGTTAGATATCACTTACTGTTTTTACTTCATTTTTGAACTTTATATTACAGTGTTCTGTTGTGCACAGATACAGATCGTTGTGTTGTGTTGTTATCGTGCAATAATTAGCGTTTTGTCATAATTTCTAAGGTTGTTATACAGGTCTTAATTCAAAAGGAGCTATTAGACCACTTGGTCAGACTTCTCACATGAAACAGTCTAGAAAATTACACCCACTTATCCCTGTCCTGCATCTAGTAACTTTTGTTTGTCTGAAGCAAGTCATTCAGAAAGATGTGTAATCTTATGCCTGGAAAGCGAGAGGGTAAAAGAATTTTCCATTTTGTTGACTGTTCTGTGCTAGATGATCATCACTTAAAAAAAAAAATCTCATGTCTAAATCCTGGCCTGAATTGGTTTGAACACAGTTTTAAACCCTGCTTCTTGTTACTACCATTGTCTCTAGATTTTCTCACTCTGCATTTTCTTTCCATTCATGTTTTCCTACAGTACACCCGCATTACTCTCAGGATTTTCCATGGCCTATGGGCAAGAATAACTATATTTAAACAGTTATGAATAATAATGAACTATATATAATATAGGTGTATTTGTAAGTAAATATATATTGAAAATAAGTTTAAATTTGTATTAGTTAATTAGCGTGTTTATAAGAAGCTTACTAGGGCATTGGATGACCATGAGCCTCCTCCCCCTCTACTCTGCCCTGGTGAAGCCACGTCTGGAATATTGTGTCCAGTTCTGGGCCCCTCAATTCAAGAAGACAGGGAACTACTTGAAAGAGTCCAGTGCAGAGCCACAAAGATGGTTGAGGTAGTGGAACATCTCCCTTATGAAGAAAGGCTGAGGGAGCTGGGTCTCTTTAGCTTGGAGGAACCTGAGGGGCAACCTTATTAAAGTTTACAAATATGTAAAGGGGGAGCGTTAGAAGGACAGAGCCAGGCTCTTCTCAGTGATCTCCAGTGATAGGACAGGGGGCAAAGGGTGCAAGTTGGAGCACAGGAGATTCCACGAAAACATGAGGAAAACCTTGTTCATTGTGAGGGTAGCAGAACACTGTAAGAGGCTGCCCAGAGAGGTTGTGGAGTCTCCTTCTCTGGAGACATTCAAAACCAGCCTGGACACATTCCTGTGTGATGTGCTTTAGGTGACCCTGCTCAGTCAGAGGGGTTGGACTGGATGATCTTTCGAGGTCCCTTCCAACCCCTAAGATTCTGTGATTCTGTGATTAAGTACTATTGCATTTTAAGGTGGATATAATTAAATTTTTGCTAATGGCTTAAAGCATAAGTTGGGAACTTGTCACTTTGAATGCCATGCACACTTGTTCATTTTAATTTGTGCTTGTCACTTGGTCTGAGTTTTCTTACCTGTATTAAGAAGAAAAACTGGTGTGAGTGGGAATGACATTTGTCACAGAATAGTAAGAGATTAAATTAATGCTGTAAAGCTATGTTTTGGGTAATATCATTATAGGTCTAATTAGTACTCTGACTTTTACTTCTTCTGCATAGTGAAAACAGCACCAAGATCTCCGGATCGACCCACAAGCCGAGGTGTCCATTCTCAGGCAGGTTCATCATCAGCTCCAGCTTTGGCTGCAAGCAAGGAAAACCTCCCAGTGCTTAACACTAGGATCATCTGCCCAGGTAAGTATGATGACTTTAATATTGCTTTCTGTTCCCCTGCTTGGTGTCAAGTAATGACTTTTATTTCATGCCAGAAGCCCTGAATTTGAAATGACACACAGTTCTTTGTGTTTAATCATATAGTAGGAAATACAAAATAATGTTTAATGTTCCTAATAGTTTAGCACAAATCCAGTGTAACAGGAGTGTTGCATTTTATTCTGGAGAGTGAAAAATGAAACTCAGGATCTTAGAATCATGGAATCAAAGAGTGGTTTGGGTTGGAAAGGACCTCTAAAGATCACCTAGTCTGACCCTCTGCCGTGGGCAAGGGCATCTTTCAATACATCAGATTGCTTGAAGACCTGTCCAGCCTGACCCTGAATACATTAAGTTATTATGCACAACTTCTGTGGGCAACCTGTGCCAGTGTCTCACCACTCTCATACAAATAAATTCTTTCTTGTGCCCAATCTAAACCTACCTTCTTTCAGTTTAAAACTGCTTCCCCTTGTCCTGTCACTGCAGGCCCTAGTGATAAGTCTCTCTCCATCTTTCATATGAGCCCCCTCTATATATTGAAAAGCTGCTATAAAGTCTCCCTGGAGCTTTCTATTCTCCAGGATGAGCAATACCACCTCTCTTAACCTGTCTTCATAGGTGAGGTGCTCCAGTCCTCTTAGCATTTTCCTGGCCCTCCTCTGGACTTGGTCCAACAGGTCCATGTCCTGTGCCTTGGGGGGCAGTACTCCCAGAGGGTATCACTAGAACCAAGTACAGGGGCAGAATCACTTGCCTTGACCTGCTGGGCATTCTTCTTTGGATGCAGTCCAGGATACATTTGGCTTTCTGGGCTGCCAGCACACATTGCTGGCTCATGTCCAGCTTTTCATACACTAGTACCTCCAAGTCTTCTATCGTTCATCCTAATCAGTGGATGCTATGAAGGGGCTGAGGGACAGAGCCAGGTAAAGTTCAGCCCTCTGAGTAAGAGATGTCTGTAGAAACCTTTCAGAAAATGAGTTACTGAAGCTACACAAAGCTGCTGTCCAGTAAAAGCAGTTGAAAAAAAATAATGTGTTCTTAGCCAAATGCAATTAATATGAGGGGACACTAGTAAAACCCCATTATAATTAACTTCATTAGTATAACTGAAACATAATGGAAGTGAGCTTCCATCTTTCTTTAAGTCAATTTAAGTTAAAGCTTTTAGAAAGTACTTTTATTTGTTTACATGCATCACACAGTGTTTTGCAGAGTGGTTTTGATATTAGTCAAGGTAGGCAGGGTAAGGCTGCCATCTTCTACAAATTAAACTAAGTTAAACTATGAGTCTTCCAGTTGTAAAAAAGGTGAGAGTATTCCTTAGGAATATTTCCAAAGGAAAGGACCAAAGGAAAATCGTGGACAGTTGGAGGTGAAGTTTAAACTAAATAAAAATCTCTAGCAGTCTTTTTGGATGTTAGGTAGCCCAGTTAGTTACTCTGCCAGCCAGCAAGTGCAGGCCTGAAGTCCTGAATTTTCTTTGGTTTTTTCTTTCTCAATGGTGGTACCTGAAGAGACAGCCACCCCACTGCAGTGTAGCTGCCTGTCTGCTCAAGTGAGCCAGAGACCTGAAAAGATAACCAATATAGGTAAAAACTGAGGCAGAAACACAATTATTCCCTACATGGTTTTAACGAATATTTTGTCTCTCACTATGTGGCTTAAATTATAATGTGGCTTAAATTATAACAATATATGTCTCTCTGTTTATCAAATACAAATTGGTTTGTTGTTATTTTTTTCTGTTGTGTTTTTGTTTTTTTTTTAAAATCAGGTTTGAGGGCTGGTCTAGCTGCTTCTATTGCAGGAAGTTCAATTATTAGCAAAATGTTGCTGGCAAACATTGATCCATTTGGTGCTACGCCGTTTATTGATCCGGATCCAGATTCACTGTAAGAAAGTTTTGGGTTTTTTTCCAGATTTACTTTTTTTGCTTTAGTTTTCTCTTCTCTTAAGCTGTTTTTGTTTTAAACTTTTTTTGTTATTTATTTTTTCATTATGAAATTCTGTTTTGCTGTCATTTGGCAGAAGGTCTCGAGGTCTAAACCCAGCTTGGATTGTGTCAGTTATTAGTAGTGCAGAATTGTATTGCAACAGCAGAAATAATAACAAACTTTTGCTCACTTACCCCAAGCCCACCAGCTCTGAGAGGGGGAGGCCAGAATTCCTTTAGAACTGGGTTTTCCTGCCTAAAATGCTGGTCTGAACACAGGTTGAGGCACCAGCGAGATGTTGAAGCACATCTGGGCACTTCCTAGTAGAGGATGAAGGAGAGTGTCTCCTCAAGGACTGGAGCAGTGAGGTGGAAATTTTGTGTCCTAAGCTGTGGCTGCCTGTCAGAACTGGGTGTAGCTGTGGCAGAGACTTACCGATGGCATCTGGATTGTGGGAAGTGACTCCCCTAAAACAAAACACTGCTCTGCCAGCAGCACCAGCCAAACATCCATCACCAGAATGCCTAAATGAGGCCTGGGTGCTCTGCCCAGTATTGTGCTGCTGACTCAAAGCCATGCCCAGGGCAGCTCTTCCCTTGTATCCCACTGTTATTTTGGCTATGGTAAAGATAGTTCTGGATGAAGGTGTGATTCAGTTGCTTCTTTGCCCTACAAGAACTAACTGGCACTTGCAAGGGAGCTACCAGCCCATCTGTCTTTTTTTACTGCTGTTTGGTTTCTTCAGGAGATTCATAGGAAGCATCTTTTGAGGGCTCTTGGTTGATGTATCTGCTCTGATCGAGACCAGCCATGTTCTTGGTCAAACCTCTGTGTGTCCAGATGCTGCACAGATGAGCACCTAATTATCTCTTTTCCTCTAACAGGGAGGGATATTCAGAAAAATGTGTCATGAACAACTACTTTGGAATTGGGTTAGATGCAAAAATTTCACTAGAATTTAATAACAAGCGAGAAGAGCACCCTGAAAAGTGCAGGTAAAGTAATTGTCGGTGACAAAGCCAAGACATTGCCGTCATTTTGTTTTCCTTACCTCTTCATTTTAATTTCTTAGTATTTTCCTCACCCTCCAAATACAAGACTTAATAATGTGTGTTTTTCAAGATGTGAATCTTGTCGTACCTGTTTTCAGAAGTCGGACCAAAAACATGATGTGGTATGGAGTTCTTGGCACAAAAGAGTTACTGCAGAGAACGTACAAGAACTTAGAACAAAAAGTTCAACTTGAGGTAAATTTTATTTATGGGCAGAGTGAGTATTTTTGCTTCTGCAATATGTAAGGAAGAATTTAGGCTTCCTTTGGAAACCTATTTGAGTTCTTATGTCAACCCAAGCTGACTTCAAAGGCACTGTGTAAAAATGTGTTATGTAAGAGGTGGTTCCCCAGGTGATTTATTGGACTAAAATGTCAGTACCTGAATATCCCAAACTACCTGTTACAATATTTCTTGTAATTACTGAGTTGTTTCTTTCCCAAGTATTTTCTTGCATAGATAATATATAGAGGGTATAATTCTTAATCTTCACTGCATCAAAGAGGGACACCAGTTTTTAAGGACAATAAAAGAGAAATGAAGGAAAGAAGGCACAGAAGGAAAAAGATAAGGAATCTAATCCTCTGGATTAATTTTAAACTGTCTGAAAGCTTACTTACGCATCTAGAGAGGGCACACAGATAATCTTAGTAAAAAATTCCTGAGAGAAGAGAAGAAATTCTGACTGTGCATCACAAAAAGCCCAGCTACACCAGTAGAGGCTTTCTCGAATATGTTTGAGACAGCCACACAAAAAGGCAAGGTAGTATTAAAGCAACAACAAATAGAGTGTAAATTATTTAAAGATGGCTACTTTTGTCTTTAAAGTTTTAACATCAAATCTAAGTCTTCTTCACGATTCTGGGAGCTTAAAGGAGATCCAAATTATTACCAAACACAGAAAAGACTATGAGATGTTTACAGTTGTTTTCACTCAACCAATATCTAGGCTGGATTTTGACCAAGAACATGCATAATACCTCTTTTTGCTTCCTAACCATTTAATGTGGAAGTTCATGATGCTAACGTGAAGATAACTTGTTAAGTTGAAAGAATAATTTAAAGTTACTGAAACTCTTTCTCCTTTGAGATTTACAAAGATCTAGTCTGATAGCAGCAGATTGCTGATATCTAAAGATTGAGTAATTATCGAGGAATTATGCAGAAGTTAGTGAATATAATGACAGAAAGGAACATGATGTATGCTGCAGATAGAATTCTAATATAAGGATCTTTTGAATAAGATTCAAATAAGATTCAATAAAACATTAAAATCTGACCTTTCTATAATTATTTTTTTTATATTTCTGGAAGTAAATCAGCAATTGCCTATTTAGTATTGCCTTGCATAATATTAGCATTATGCTAAACCTTGTGATAAGGAGCACAGCATTGGAAAATTGGAAATATAAATGTCAGTCATTGGAGGCAGATCTCTACTGTAAAATAAATGGCTGTGCAGCATCTATTAATATCACAGCGTATTTTGATTAAATTTTGATTAAAATGCTAATATCTGTCTCATTGCTGAGATTAAATCATAAAAAGTGAGTCCTTAGCAATTTCTGGCAATAGTTTTGCATTTCTTTCTCCTCCTGATAAAATGGCTACAGATTTTCTTCTTCTTTCCTGAGGATTTCTGTTTCATTGATATAATTTTAAGATCCTTCTGTGGTATTGGTAACTTACAGTAATCAATCTAGCAGTCCTTTTTAAAGGCAACTTTACCTACAAGTTTGTGATCCCCAAAGTGACACATGAATGTAGCATTTATGACCTTACATTTGCAACCTACTTCAAATCCCTGCTTGTGGCACTGCTACAGGTCTGCACTTTGAACTCCTAGTTGAGTGGTTTGAGATCATTTGGCTCACCTCTGCAGGCAGCTGTACTGTTGTCAGTCAAGGGGGATTTCATTGATCTCTGTAAATTTACTAGTGGCCATTGGTAGGGTGAGATTGACCTGCGTTATTCCATGATTGTTGAGTAGGCCTTGGAGTTGCTTATGGATTTTGGAGGATAAAGTGATAAGAAAGAACTCAACAGTTGATCACAGAACTGATTTCTTACCTGCAAAATCAACTACTGCAAAATCAGCCAGTATAACTATTGTGGGATCAGTTCTAGGTTTGCCTTTGCACTTTCAGGAGGAGATTGAAGTTATTTTTATAGGAAGCCAAGCATATGGTGCCAAAACCACTTACATTTAGCTGCATGTTTGTGGCTATGCCAGAAATATTCCTGGATTTTTTTAATCTCCCCTGCCCCCTCCTCCACTTAATGGATTTACCTAAATAACAAATGTATTGCACTTTTGGGAATGCTGATAGAGGATGGAAGACTAGTTACTGAATGCATAAATGAAACTTTTTCTAATATCCATGGGGGTCCCTCTGTGTGCACGCAGGGAAATAGCTTTTTTAATTGCAAAAAGATTTGTAAAGTCTGCAAAAATTGGTGCTAAGACTGGGGAGAAGAGGTTTATATTAGAGGTGCTTCACAGCATGGAGTCAATAGTCTTCTGTCAAACCTATCACTGACTCTGTCCTCCCCTACCAGGTCTGCTGAAGCTTCATGTGTTAAAAATGGCTGTTTGCTATTGTCATATTCCTTGTATACTGATTGAGCTTTTATCCATTACAGTGTGACGGACAGTACATCCCCCTTCCAAGTCTGCAGGGCATAGCTGTGCTAAACATTCCCAGCTATGCTGGTGGGACTAATTTCTGGGGTGGAACCAAAGAAGATGATGTGAGTAATGTTAAAGAGAAGTAACCTTCTGGGCGACACCAGCAATAAATACCATGAGCTGCTCTTCTCATTTAATTTTAATAGTAGTAGTGTGTAGTTCGGATAGAAACTGTTACTCAGGCAGGCTGTTTGTATTTAAACTGTATTGTCTTGTATTTGATTTTTCACTATCTATTGCTTCCTCTCTCATCCATTCCAGAAAAATGTTCATAATAAGGCTTAATGATTTTTTTTTTAAGTAGTTCTATAAGACAATATTTTTAGAAACTAATTTTATAAGCAGATGTGCAAGTCGTTTATCTCTTGATTGTTTTACAAACTTCTGTAAATCAGATTTCTGAAAGCATAGATTGCTTTGTTGGGTATATTCTAACAATAAATGAACAAGTTGGACCAGCATAGTTACTCGGAGTTTATACCTGGATTTTCCTCCTGTTCTTCAAACAGCTTTGGATTGCTGCAGAAAATGACTAAAGCATTTAGTGACTGATCGTTTGGTGGGAGTAGTAATCTGTTTTTCTTAATATGATTTTCAATGAGCTTCTGGAATGTTTTAAGATACTTTTTTTGTCTTCTTTGTCACATCTCCTAAGAATATTACACTGCACGGATACCTAAATGGTATCTAAATGTTCCTACAAGTTGGAGCAGACTTACTGCTGCCATTCATTTCACACACAGTGCAACAACTGTAATTAGTAGCAGATTATCCTAGTTCTTCATGTCCAGATTTAGTGTGTGTGAGGTCTGAAGCACCTAAAACTGTAGTTGCAAATTAGCTTTTGATTTTAATGTAAACAATCCAGGATTTTTTTGACAAAATGCTTTTGGTTTCTTGTGACTTACTTATCCTTTGCTTCTACAGAGATATGTGTATATACACACATATAGAAGTTTCAGAAAATATGTAAACATATTTCAGTGTCCTTTTCTTATTTTTGGTGTATGTCAGAGGATGGCAGTAATGTTTATATTCACTGTGGATGTCTAGAGTCTATATATACTCCATGTTCATATTCATAACTCAGAAGCATCTCTAACATGCGCTAAGCTTCTGTTCAGTTTATTTTTCTCTCTCGGGTGCCTCACTGAGAGAAAAGATCTGTCCTAGCTGTCATACTGGTATACAGCAAATGTGTATGTCTTGGAGCAGTTTTACTGGTATTCTTAGTCTTCTGGTGATCAGATGTGCCAGCAAAGTTGGTTCTGGACAGAGGTAGGACCATAATTCATTGCTTTAGTTCAGGCTTAAGTGACTAATCATCAAAGATGGTGGGGGGGTCTGAAGTGCTGCTGGTTCTGCTTATCTGGACAAAGGAAAAATGCTGCCTTGACAGGCAAGACTATTCCTGAAACATTATCAGTGAGCCAAGCAGGGCAGCTGCACACGGACCGACTTGATCAGGGCTTGTTTAAGCAAGCTCTTTGGGTGTCCAGAAGACAGGCTGGAAACATGACCTGCAGCAGGAGAGGAGGGAGTTGTTTCTTAAATATTCATCTGTAGAGCTATGGTTGCCTTTATTAAGATAATTAAGAAAAATAAAAAATAAATTAAAAAAAACAAACAAAAAAACCCAAATCCAAAAAGCCCCAAAACAAAACAGGTTAGTTTTTCAATACAGCTGTGTTTTACTGGTGGAGGGACACAGCAGACTGGGTTGTTGTTTGCTCGTCTTTTGCTAAAATGGAACCACAAAATAAATGAAATTTTACAATCACTTTTTCTTAACTCAGGCAGAACTAGCCCTGTAGATGTCAGTTATACTTGTTAAAGCTGGATCAAGGACTCTACATACTTTTTATCTTGGAATACCAGAATCACCATCTTTTCTGTTTTCAAGATGTTCCATGTGAAAAACACAAACATTTACATAAAAACTAGAAAAATCCAGATGGATAAATGTTTTGCTTCAAAACAGTCTAGACCCAGAAACATCATCCCTGGATGTGTTTAAAAGTAATCTAGATGTGGTGCTTGAGGATATGGTTTAGTGCTGGATGTGGTAGATTAGGGTTAATGGTTGGACTCAATGATCTTGAAGGTCTTTTCCAACCTAAGTGATTCTGTGATTCTGTGAAATTGCATTTTTGTTCTTTGACATTTTGTCTACTCAAGACCTGTCTGTGCAATCCTGGGATGCTCTGATAGAAAGTGCCACATGGATACGGCACCTGAACTGTGGCAACTGGGAAGCCCTCTCCAGCCTCCTGACCAAAGCCACCACTCACTGCAGTGGGTTTAGGCTTCCACTGGCTTGGTTAGCAGCAGGGACCAAATTCCCTCACCCTGTTGTCCATCTTCTCCCTCCCTGAGCCATTGCTGCAGGCACTATCCAGATTACACAGCCCTGGATCTGCACCCTCTTACTCTTCGCTCCCAGGAAATCCTCTATCAGGAGACAGGACCCAACTAGTTGTGGCATTTGAGCTCCTTTCAGGGATTTTCTCCAGTCATGTCTCACATATCTGATGCAGCTTACTGTGCCCAAGGTGCCAACTGAAGAACTGTGTGCTGCTCTTTACCTTTTAAACTCTTGCTGGAGTGATTTCTCTTGCTGATTTTTCTCCCTCCTTGCTCCTCATTTCGTATCAGAATGAAATGGTCAAGCTTCAAGTGACCTTAGCATGGTATCTCCTGCAACACCCAGCTTAACCAGGTGGCAATGTCACACAGGACTTCCCGTGCCACTGAATTTAGAAATTCAGTGTCTTAGCTGGGTGTTAGAACATTTGTTCCATACAGAAGTGGTTTTAATATTTACAGTGGATAATGGTATGCAGCACAATTAAGATCCACTTTGATATGGAAGCTGTGTTTAACAGCATGAACTCAGATGTTAGTTTCCAGAGAATTCAGAATATAAAAAGATAAGCACTTCTGAGAAAAAAAGATACTACTGCTTCTCTTAACTTCAAGAACCTCTTGGATATCAAGTACATAAACCACACAGAGATTTGAATTGGCCTTTCATCTTGCCTTGAAAAACATTCCTTAGTCTGCATGCTGAAACATGCCAGCCTTCCTATATAGGATGCTTTGCCATTCAGATATGTGAAATGCTGTTAGCATTGCTGTTTTGAAATAATACCTACCTACTGTCTACAGTATCTCCTATGATTTTTGAGAGTCATTGCAGTTATTCTATAGTAAAAAAGTTGGAATATTTAAATGTTGAAAGTGAATCTGTAAACGAATTTGTGCTTCATTGAGCAAGCACTAGATTTACCCTAAAAAAAACCCTGAATATTTTCTTTTCAGATATTTGGAGCTCCATCATTCGATGACAAAATCTTGGAAGTCGTGGCAGTGTTTGGCAGCATGCAGATGGCAGTTTCCAGAGTCATCAAACTGCAGCACCACAGGATAGCTCAGGTTTGTTTCTTACTTGACAGCACATAACATGTTTGGCAGCAGTTTTGGATGCTGGCAAGTCGTCGTACTCTTGATGACCACCACCCTATACATTAATAAAGCGCTGACGTTGTTTTAATTTTAACGGGAAACAAATTGTCTTCAGTGATGAATGAAGTATAAAAATGCTTCATCCTTGAGACAATCCTGGAGGGAAGCCACAGCTCCTAGTAATCAACATGTTTCAGGTGGCCTGTCAGTTTCATTTAGTATTTATTGCTCTGTAAAATAACATGTTTGTTCTTTTCCAGTGTCGGTCAGTAAAGATCACCATACTTGGTGATGAAGGGGTTCCAGTGCAAGTGGATGGAGAGGCATGGATCCAGCCCCCAGGAGTGATTAAGATCATACATAAAAACAGAGCTCAGATGCTAACACGAGACAGAGTATGTTGCAGAAAGTGTGTTACCAAATAGCATGAGGAACACTGGTTTCTGTAATAATTTGATTAAGTTTTAACACAAACAAAACAGTGCTTACAAAAATGTTCTATAACTATTTATATAACTTATATAACTACTTAAAGTTACATAATTTCTATAATAAGCTGGAAAGAGAATTGTTCTTCCTTAGAAGTGACACAGCTTTTTGTTAGCTTTTACCAGTTTTGTTAGTGCTGTTCCTGTATTCTTACTAATATGTAGTAAGAAGAGGAATGGTCAAAATTTTGTGTTTGCCTGCCTTCCTTATTGCCTTCTTTCCTTCTCTTCTCTAGTTGTATTATGCACTGTCACATACTGGATGTTTTAGCACAGCTGCATAAATAACAAAGTTCTATAATTTCTGTTTTTCAGAATACCTTTCTGCAGATTTCTCTCCTCTCTGTCCTATTGATCTGTCCTCCCTCTCCCCCATATCCCAGATTCAGACACAAGCAGAACCTAGTCAGGAACCTGTTGGAGAGTTCACACTTGTCTAGGATTACTGTTTGAAAAGTGTAACTATCCCTCAGTTCTTTGTCCACTAACTGGATGTTGAATTTAGGGTGCCCTTAATGGCATTTGACCTCTATTTCAGTAGATTTGTTACTTTTCCCCACTATTTTTTAGCTTCCAGTCCTGCATTAGTTTCAGATTTGGATCTTGTAATCCACAGAAAATGTGCTTGTGTTATTACTGTCTTTGAGTTCTGTTTTGGAAGACATTTACTGAGAATACAGAAAAGAGATAGAGGTTTTGGAACTGACTTGTTCTCTATACTAAGTTTTAAAAAAAAAGTACTTTTATTATTTATGCAGCTTATATTCTATATATTAAAGTAAAATTCAATTTAAAAGTTGATTATTAATCAACTTTAATTCGAATTTTATATAAAGTAAATTGTATGTAAAATTTAATTTTAAAATAAGTAAGAATGCTCCGAGTGCTGTGAACTGAATGTACAATTTATTTTGGTTAGGCCTTTGAAAACACCCTGAAGTCTTGGGAAGACAAACAGAAGTATGACTCCTGTAAACCTGTGATTCGATCTCCCTTGTGCCCTCAGCAGGCTGTTGAGTTGGCTACAGAGGAAGAAGTTGGACAGATCCAGTTGTGCTCACAAGCTGCAGAAGAGCTTATTACCAGGTACAGTAAAATTAATAAGTTTGGATTGGCAACGTGGACACCAAGACTGAATTATTTATGCTAATGCATACAGAGACTTAGCAGTGTGTATTTTCCCTGGTTTTTTATTAATGTTTAGCTGCCTCTCTATCAGTAATTTTTTTTAACTCAAATGTTGTTTTACTTTTAAGGCTCAACTTGTTTGTGTGTTTCCTCTCTATTTATGTAATTGTATTTCGTATGTTTGTGGAATTTTTTTTTCTTCTGGAAAATTACTTTCTAAAGAGGCAGTGGAGATAGAAAACTGGAAAGCTTCTTTGCAGAGATGCCTTTGATTGTAACTTCTCGTTTTATGCAAAAGAAAAATATATATGTTGAAAAAAAACCCTTAGAAATCAACTTTAGAAGTCAGCAATGTGGATGTATCCATCTAACCTTACATCCTCCTGACTTTGTTTCCCTGTAAAGCCTTTTCACTCGTACTTTTTAAAAAGATGAGTGCTTTGCAATAAACCTGAGCATTTTCTTAAATACCGGACAAGTAAACAGTTAACACACCAACATTCAAGGAGCTCAGATTGTCAGATAAAACCTTCATACCTTTTTGTATTCATCCACTCATGCTCAGAGTCCTCCTCTGCATGCCCCTGGACACTTCAGTAATTTGTATGGGTTGAAATGGTAGCAAGCTGATGGTATAAAGCTGATCCCACAACCTTGCTTATTTTCAAGAACTACCTTCTTCCTGAGATGCAAATATTTTAATAAAGAAAACGCTTCCATTTTCACAGAAGAAAAATACCCTAGGTTTTGGGGGTTTGTGTGGTTTTTTTTAAGAAAAGCATTTTTTTTAAATCAGAAGACTTTATAAAGCTCCTGTTCATTCCACCATGATAACAATTTATCTTAAGCACCAAAATCAATTGTTAGAGCATGTGCTGAGTTGCAATGATAATACGAGAAAGACATTAAGGAACTACATACTCTTTTTAAACTAGTGACTTCAATAGATATAGAAGAATGATTTAGGTTAAATATTACCCAAAGTGAATTTTAACCAAGACAGCTTTAAAGCTTCACTGTTCTAGAGGTGGTCCTGAAATTGTAATTATTGCTAGACTTTCCATAATCTCAAATGATTGCAACCAATTCTAATGTCACATCTGAAGAATATACCTTGTGAAATTGCTGTAATGGTTTTTAAGGTAACTTCTTAATCTGCTAAATTTTTCCTCTATAGTTTATTTTAATGAATAGCCAAAACATTTTCTAGTACAATTTTTGTGTAGCATTTGTGTTCTAAGGCAAAAAAATGTATCTCAGTATTTCATAGCAAAATAAATAATCTGTATTATGGATATAATTTATATGAGGTGCTGTATTGCTTGAAGAGATACTTGTATTTCAACTTTTGTTATAAAGGACTATTTTTTCAAGTGTTTTGTGACACTTTATATATTTTCTCATCTGATAACGTTCTGTACTCTTACAAATTATTCTTTTAAGGGGGGTAAGAAACATTTTTCTCTTTTTTTTATATTTTTCTAGGATCTGTGAAGCAGCAAAAATACATGGCCTCCTGGAGCAGGAGCTTGCTCATGCTGTTAATGCATGTTCACATGCATTAAATAAAGCCAACCCGAGATTTCCTGAGGTAAAGGAAGGACAGAGACTTATGTCTATGTAAACAAGCTATAATACCTGTGTGGATAAGCTTGTGACATGGGAGATGTAGTGTACTTCCTATGCAAAACAAGTGGGGTGATAATTCTTGAGGTTTGTTATAAACAAGACCTCTAAACATACATACACATGCTCAATGCAATGAAATTGCTTAACAGATGAATGGATGCTGTATCTTCATCCCTTTTTTGCCACTTTCCTAAGGTGACAGTAAAGGGGAAGTCACTTTCTATTCTGAAGGTGCTGCTCTGTAGCAGCAGGGAGTCTCAGCCCTTCACATGCATTGGGAAACACCCCATACCTGATGAATCTGGTAGAGATTGTGCTCAATTATTCTGAAATGTATTAATAATACCAGGAATGGGAGTTAGGAGAACTACCTTTTTTACAGAAGAATATTAAAGAGGAGAGTCTGCTCCCGATTTTAGATCACTATAACTGAGAAGGCAGAAGATGCAGCTTCTGTATTATTCATCAGTGTCCTCCCCAGCAAATACTCTCTTTTGTTAATGTTGGACCTTACAAAGGGACATTAATGACAGTTGAAATGCAGACCTTCTGGGTGTTGTTGCAGGGGGGAGTGAGCAGTCAAAGAGGAGACAGGGAGTTTGGATTAGGGGCATGGTAAGAGTATGTCTGTTGCCCTTTGGAAGCTGTCGAGAACTTGCTTCATCTGCAGTGGTGCTCCAGAGCCAGGGATGCTCAGCCTGAAGTGATGCATCAGTGCTTATGAAATCTAGTGAGGTGATGTACTAATGTACCTCTGAGCATGAATAAACCAAACTCAGGTCAGCAAATAGCAAAAACAATAGCCAAAGTACACTCACATCTGCTTGCAGACAACTGTGTAGGCATGTCCCCAGGTACGGAGTGGAGACAACAAAGGCTGAACCCAAGCTGATGCTACATACAGGTTAAATCTTGTGGATGCATTCACAGAATGTTCCTGCTTAATTGTTATCTAAGTGCTATAGAGAAAATGCAGAGAAGGTGAGGAGAAATTAATGGCCTGGCTTCTCTCTTCACACTAAGCAGTCTGGGGTGTTTTCAAGGACTGGGACCAAGAAAGATTAATTAGGTAGAGACTGTCTATATCTAACCTAAATTTAGATATGATAAATACATTAGTTAAGCTTTGTTTCTTAAAACATGCCTAGCAGCTTACTTCTGCTTAGGGTAAGGTGAGCAATTCAGATCAACAGTTGTTAAATGAGGCCTGCAACTTTTCTGCTGGCCTTTGTCATCCATAAAATTGTGGATTCATCTCACAGATGGCTGGTCACTTTATGATCTTCAGGATTGTAAAAGGTCATATTAGATAAAGTTGGGGAAAAGACAGCAAATAGATACTACATTTTTACTTCCCCTTCTAAATGCTGAAGTTGTCAGTGAAGAGCTATACTAATGTATTTCTTCTAGGAGAAGACACAATCTGTGCTATAAGCCCAAAGTACCTATTCTTGGTCTGACTTGTATCACTTCCAATCATTTTTATGCTTCTTATTCTGCAGAGCCTTACCAGAAACACAGCCATGGAGATAGCTGTCAATGTGAAGGCCCTACATAATGAAACTGAATCTCTGCTATTAGGAAGAGTTCCTTTGGTAAGGTCACAAATACATGGTTTCATTCCCTCATTCCGATTATCTGTGATTTGTTCTTTGCTGATTTTTCAAATCAGCTCAAGATTTATTACATGCTACAAGAAGCTCTGTCAGGCTAATTGGAGGATATTACACAGCATTTATGATTTGGGTTGGAATGAGTTATGAATTCTTATCCTAGGTTGGCATCCATTTTACCTCTACTTCAGATGTCTGAAAGATTGTTGCCTGGGCTCTTCTTTTTAGCAGTCTGTGTAGAGAAGTAAGTGTCCCTGTTGAGGCTGATTCAGACTTGGCTGTCTTGGAGGCCTGTCTTAGGAAAAGATAAAACATCTGGAGGTTTAGCATTTAAGAGAACTCCTAGAGTTCTGCTATGTGGCCACTTCAGAGAACATGGGGTGAGATCTCCTATGTTCAGCCTTTAGAGATTTAATTTAGGCAAGTAAATGTCACCCTTGTTCTGATACCTGTCAGGAATTATTTTATAACCTTTAACTGGTATGTGTTCAGTAGAATCTGATAGCACCTTGCAGACTTTGTATCTTCTGCTTTGGCTAATGTTTCTGTGCCTAAATGATGAAGACTACTCAAGAATTCTTGTACCTGGATGTATAATTAGAAAATTACTCTATTGGGAAGAGAAGAAAGATGTCAGGTTTTCTATGCTGGTCTAATTTTACATCAAGAGGATAGGCAGTAGGAACAGTCACATTTTCTTTGGATTCAAAAGCAGATTTATTGCTAACTTACTGTTTATTTAAGTGTTATAATTCAAAATGGGTACCAATAATATTTTTACTTAGCAGAGTTAGGATATGAAACTTACTGCTGCAGGCTCACATACCTTTTTTACAGAAGTAATAATTCTACAGTAACCAAAAGTTAATACAGTCTAAAAGCTAATAACCATTTAACTTATATAAATAGTCAAAATTAGGTTAAAATGGTCTATTTTATGAGTTAGTTGTTAAGGAAAGTTATTAACTAGATGTTTTTATCCAAGAAAAGGGAAAAATAACTGTTGGGTTTTTTTCAAATGTCTATTACTAATCCCCCATAATTCAGATTGAATCAAAATAGAGAAATGTGTTTATATTTTAAAACAGTTTAGGAAGATAAATTGGATGAAAAAGTTGAAGCTGGTGGTGCCATACTAGGACTGGTGTCCTAGTATGTCCTAGGCAGTTTGGAAATAATGTTATTATGAAAACCTTCCCATTGAAGTATTATCTTTTCTGTAGCCAGTTGTGATCTCATTGTGTTGTCAAACTGGTTCCTTGTTCAGGTTCCAAAGCTTAATTTGATTTGTTTGTCCATTTCTCATTTTTACTTGTTGTACTTCTGCTTCTCATTATAGTCTGCACAAATGTCTTCATGAGTCTGCATCAAACCCATTTAAAAAAAAAAAAAAAAGCCATTTGGAAGATACCAAGATAATCTTCTGGAGATGTTTACGCTCATTTCACACCCTGGTTAACCTTATTGCCATGTATTTTATAAATGCTGAAACAGCAAAAACAGACAGATTAAATGTAAGGTGTTGCTTGATGCACCAGATGCTGCTGTAACATGCAGTTCTCCAACTTATATTTATCCTCTGGCAAAGATGGGCCCTCTTTATTTATTACATTCCTCTTTTTTTTTTTTCCTCTTCAGTTCTCCCTCACCTCTGTCTGTTGTGATCAGACTCTTGATAACAGTAAATTGATGCCTTTGTTGCATCTATGACTTGGTAAGCTTTTCCTTTGGTTGCCATTTACTGGCTTTTGAGTATTTCTGTTATGGCTCTTGAAGGAAACAAATATAAATACATAGACAAGGAAATTGTCATTCCTGCCACATCCTGTGAGATACAATTTTAAAAGTTCACCTAACAGTATTAGCTAGATGGCATCAAATGGTGAATTAGCTATAAATACCATTTTCAGTGAAATGATAAGATGGGACAATGAAGCTGATTGTGGATTTTTTCCAGATGGTTTTGGCTGGAGCACACTTTGGAAAAAATAAAAAATGTCATGTTTTGTCTAGATATTTTCTAAAAGAACCATTTCAGGTTTTGCTTTTTTAAAAGCATTTCCAGTCTGTAATAGTGCACAATTTTCCAGTGTATTAAGGGAAAAGTATGACTGAATGTTGCATTTGAATTTAATTAAATTATCTGAGCTCACTAAAATAAAGTATTTTCATATTTAAAATTTCATTTGGGAAGGAACTGAAAAACAAACAAAACAAACAACTTTAATTGTCGATGTTTTGTTCATAGTGTTAATTTCTACTTTGGGAATCAGAAGCTTTTCCTAGATGTTCTTAGGAGGAGAATTTACCCTGAATTGCTGACTCCTTTACCAGAATTACACTTTATATTTGGGTTTATTTTAGGAGAAATATTGCCAGTGCATACACTTCTTCACCATGGGTTGAGAGGTTTTTTGTTTTCCTTTGAGAATCAAGCAAATCCAAGTGCTTTTTCAGAAAGAGCAAACTCTCTGCTTCATTCATTTACATAAAATAGGTGACTTAAATATTTTTTTTTTAAAGGAAAACATGAGAAAAGTTTTAACTTCTTTAAAAACAATTAGGTCTTCCACTGTGCTCCAAATGAACTGAGCAGTCTCCTTATGGGCAATGAATTCCGTGAGCTTTAAGAAGGAAGAGAACACAGTAGCAAAGGAGAGCTTATATTTCCAGTGTCACGATACTAACAGCAATATTGTATTAAAGATGGTGTCTCCCTTGATAGGTTGTAACTATTGAAGCAAAGGAAAGAAGCTTTTGTTAGAAAGGATAAATTAATGGGGGCTTCTAATTTATCACCAAGCCCCAACAACGTCAAAACCTTTTCCCACCTCTAGAGATCGAAGATTCTCTTACAACTCTGTTTTAAAGATGCATTCACAGAATCACAGAACTTTTGGAGTTGAAAGGGACCTTAAAGATCATCAAGTTCCAACTCCCCTCCATGGTCAGGGACACCTTCCAGTAGAACAGGCTGCTCAGAGCCCCATCCAACCTGCCCTTGAACACCTCCAGGGATGGAGCCCCCAAAACATCTCTGGGCAGCCTGTTCCAGTGTCTCACCACCCTTACACTGGAGAATTTACACCTGATCTCTAACCTAAATCTTTCTTCTTTCAGCTTAAAACCATTACCCCTCGTCCTCTTACTGCAAGCCCCTGTAAAAAGACCCTCCCCAGCTTTCCTGTAGGCCCCCTTCAGGTACTGGAAGGCTGCTATGAGGTCCCCCCTCAGCCTTCTCTTTTTCAGACTGAACAGCCCTGACTCCCAACTTGTTCCAACAAGTCCACATCTTTCTTGTGCTGGGGGCACCAGAGCTGGACTCAGTATTCTAGGTGAGGTCTCACCAGGGCAGAGTAGAGGGGCAGAATCACCTCTTTCCGTCTGCTGGCCACACTTCTTTTGATACAGCCCAGGATGGAGTTGGCCTTCTGAGCTGCAACTGCATATTTGCAAATAATAACTCAGGCTTACTATCATATTTATTTATTTTTTTAATATATACCACTTTTCATACAAAGCTTTTCCAGGCTCTCACTCTTCTGGTCAGGTTTTATCTCCCTTGTGCTGGTAATTTCCATTTCTAGTATATGCTGGTATTGGTGTTACCAGATAACTTTTTCTCTGTGAAGAGTCAGGAGGGCTGGTCTGCACCAAAAGTCTCAGCTGTCTCAGTCATTCTTTTGTAGTTGGGACCATACTAAATGCAGCATCAGGTTGGTCTGATACAATTCTGAAGGAAAATCTAATTTTGGAAGGTTATTTGTTTTCTCCTTCTCTTTACAGTAACTGTGAAGTAGTCATCTGTTTGTGTGTGGTAACAACATATCTAGATTTAAATGTTTTATCTTAATAAAACTGAAAATACTGGTTTTCTGTCCTGTTTGTAAATAGCAGTTAGAAGCTCCCCATGAAGAACTGGTGTCTGATGCTTTGCACAGCGTGGAAATAGAGTTGAGAAAACTTGCTGAGGTGCCTTGGCTTTATTACGTTTTTCAGCCAAATGATGACGAGGTGAGTTTGACTTGAATACTTCCTGTTTCTAATTGAACTTAATTTTCTTTTGATAGGGAGAGTAAGTTAGAGTCATGATCTGGAGAGGCAATTTCAGTAGTGGTGCTGGATTCTTCCTGTCAGCTGTGAACAAGCTTCTAAGCTTAGCCTTTCTTTTGTGTTTCATTCCCTTTTGTTCCTGTGTTGAATGGTTATTTAATAAATAAAACAAGTATAGAGTTAAATTCTGACATTATTCTTTACAGAAGTAAAATTTGGTCTTAGTTTTTGAGATGGACTATGAACTCCCCTCTCGAGCCTGTAATTTGTTGATTTCTGTTAATTAAAAGTAATTATGTCTCTTCTTTCATGCAGGATCCCTCTCTGGATTATGCTAAAAGAAACAACAGAAGCACAGTGTTTCGCATAGTGCCAAAGTTTAAAAAAGAAAAAGTTCAGAAGCATAAGACCAGCCCTCAGCCTGGTATGTGTTTTGTAATTACAAGAAAAATAGTAGCATTTGGGGAAAATGTGACTTTGTGTTTTGTTTGGTTTTTTTTTATAAGGGGGTGACATTATGTAATCTACCCAACAGTAAAGTCAAAGTGAAAAACAACTGAGCTGACTGGCATCTTGATTAGGATGAAGATTTCTTTCCGTGCATTTAGAAAGCATTCAGTAGGACCCCAAGACTTCCAATTGAACCAAAAAAATACTGTGAAAATATTTCGTTTTATCATGCAACAGGACCTGTGTCTTTGCTGTTGGTTACATTTGATTGACTCATAGCAATACAAGCCATAGATTTCCCTCTGAAGCTCCACGTCAGGTGTTTCAGGTTAGTTCCAGAAGGTGCACAGTAGCTTTTTTTACACTGGTTTAATTAACCAGTTATTCTTAAATTTCAGATGGGTTTTAAAGTCAGTGAGACAAATCAAGGAAAGAAAACATGACAGTTAATACTGATTCTTTCAATTAGAAGTTGAACAAACTCCACTCTCCTCTCTTCCCACTCTTATCCATGAACTTAATTCCTAAAGATTATGTCCAGGAGTTAATCGGTGATCAGATGGCCCTAAAACTGTTTATACATCTTTATCTGGACAGTTGGTCATCATCTGCAAAATCTTGCAGTTGTTGATCAGATGTTAAATTTCAGATTAGACTTCAGATTTCACTTCAATGTAAAACTGATCAGCCTTGAATGAAGTTGCAAAATTATAACAATAAGTAGCATAACAATTTATATTTTTTTAAATAAATGTGGTCTTCTGAGGACTAATGTGGGCAACTAACCTTAGAGAACAATGTTCTACAGAGAGCTTCTTAATGGCCTGTGTAACACAGTAGCTTAAAGAATACTTGTTGCATTAATTAAGAATACTAGAATCTGTTAATTAAAACTAGACTTGCTTGCTGCCATTGCTATATTTGAGGTATGGTTGATATTTTAATTTTACATGTTAATTAGTTTTTGAAGGCTTCTGCTCTAGCTGGATGACTACTAATAAATTAATGGTATAAAGCAGAACAACATTAGACTTTGCGTCACTGATCCTAAGATGGCTTAATGTGAATTGGTTGGGACATGAGGTTTTAAAGGCTTTACTGAAGAAACTGGAGTAAAGCTGAAAGCATGGCTGCAAAGCAAAGAACCCCAACTTTGTTTAGATACTTTCTCATATTAACTGCTAACCTGTAATCTGCATGTAAAAAGGAAATTGTCAGTTTTTGTGGAAATGACACCTCTAACCTTTCCCTTTGCTAGCACGGCAATTCTACTCTGTTTTCCACTCTCTTTGGCCTAATCTTTGCTTGTGATGCATTTGAGCATGTAGAAATTAAGGGGGTTTTGCTCTTAACTTTGGTAGTTCAAAAATGGGGCACAGATGAAGTTGCTGCTTGGCTGGATCTGCTCAGTTTGGGAGAGTACAAAGAAATCTTCATCAGCCATGACATCCGAGGCTCTGAGCTTTTACATCTGGAAAGGCGAGATCTTAAGGTATTTCCTTTGTGCTACTTTTCTGCTATTGACCATTTTCTTTGACAAAACAACAACAAACTTTTCTTCTTTCCCTGCACTTGGTATGTGCTTCTAGCTTGGCTTACACTGTGCAAATGTGCAATAAACTAATATGCGCTGTCCTTTGGCCTGTACTTCTAAAGTGCTGACTTTTACTTGCATCCAAGAATAACTGTCTTATCTGAAATTTCCTTTTTTTACCCTTTATGTAGAATGATAGCATTATAGTTCATGTCAGAAGGCCTAGGAAAAGCAGGTCTGATATCTTTCTGACATCAGTGTAATATAATGTTCTCTTTAAGAGTTCACTGTTTCCGTTAAACGGGTTCATTATGGATCAGTTGAAAGTGATCATAATAAGTTTGAATCTGTTGTCTGCTGCAAGGTCAGTAGCTACCAGCAGCTGACCTGCTTCAGCTGATTTATTATATATATAGGATAAAGTGAGTGTGAGAGAGATAAGCAGCTTAATAAATTGTGGCATTGGACTTACATGGCCTTGGTGTTTGTGTGTCAAAATAGACCTTTGCTATAGGTTTTCTTGTCCCTGACCAACCTCTGCTGGATTTTGGCTGTATAGATTTAAAAAGGAGGACTTCCTTTTCATTCCAGAATCATAAAATTTTCTTCCTGTGAGGTCAGATTGATAAGTTTTGCACAGAGAAATGTTACCTAGCAGTCTGAGACTGTTATTTGAGCTTGCTGGTCTTTTTCAAGAATGACTTAAGTGCATCCATTATATGTAATAGAGGCTGTATCTTTGGGGATTCATTACATTACTTTTTCCAGGAACTCAGTGGTAATGAGTTCTTGATAATGTGTTTTGCCACTGCTTTTAGCACGTCAGAGAGGAAATAGGATATTGTATAAATTCCAAACATTTACATTTAGAGTGAAAGTCATTGCTCTAGCCAGTGCAGTAGTCTCCAGACAGAGGCAATACTTTCACACAAATGTGCCATTTTGGTAAAGTTTCTTATACAGTGTGAAATTCATAAGGAAGTGCGTGCATTGTGTGACTATTGCAGTAGAACACAGCTGCTGAAGATTGTGTTGGAGATGATCTGTTAGGCTGCTGCATATTATTTTACTCTATGTCATAAGCTTGCCTAAGCTTCTTACTGTGGAAGTTAAATTCCTTTCTTTCAGGATAGTTCCCGATATGCAGGGGTAGTTTCAGGTCAGTCCCTCCTTGCAAAAATTTAGAAATAAAAAACTGTCCAAGCAATCCACCACAATGTTTCAGTGACAGTTGCCAGTCCCTCTTCTGAATGAGCACTGCACAAATTAAAACTTCGCTGAGAAACTCAACATCACACAATGCACAGGTTTGCTAAAATGTTAAGAAATCTTAAAAAAAAAAAAAAGACAAGCTGTCAAATTTATTGCAATAAATTATGGTAAGTAAGATCAGTGTTAAACTAGACATGGCTTCTGGCCATGCCCCATTTCTGATAGGTATGAATTTTACTGCATGCCCAGATGACTGGCACTTCAACTAAGTGAGTATATCCCTGTTGCTAAGACTCCTGCTGATGCAGCATAAATAAAACCTCACCACAAAGGCCTATGCCCTGAATTACCTAAAAGCTTGTATTGGAGCCTACAGAGAGACAGACTTTTACTGTCCCCTCTGTATAGTGCTTCCTGGAAGCACATATGTGGTTTTAAATTGCTCAGAATAGCTGGATGAGGAGTTGCCACAACAACACAAGTTGCCAAGGTTATATCCTGTGCTAGCAGAAGCTTGCTGTAGAATAGCCCTATCTGCTCATTGGCAGATGCTGAGGGCTTCCAAAGCAGTGCTGTTGGTGAGGTAGGCCAGGCTTTTGGCCAAGTGTGGCTTGCTTTCTGTGGAGCAACACTGAATTTAAGTAGCAGAGTTTACCACTCATCCTGTTCATTCCATTCTGGCCATGATCTCTCCAGGGAGCCAATTAAGGATGGCTCAGGGAGCCTGCAGTTTTCTGACCAGTGACCTGAATCACTGTCAAGATGTGTAACGTGGTACCTAGGAAACGAGGAACATGTCACAAGCTGCCCTGTTAATTCTTCCTCCCTTTGACTGTCAAGGTGTGCAGGTTGAGGCTTCAGAGCTCTTGCAAGCTCTAATCTATCTACAGCCTCTCGGCCAGTGCAAGGCTTGTTCTGCCTTCCAACTGAAATGGGCTCATCATTGATCCACAAGCTCTTAAGGCATCTGCAATAGATTTAACCCTGTTACCTCTCACGTCTACAACAGGAAAAATCGTTACCTGCTTTAATGGGATTCTCTGGGCCCACCCTTCTTTCTGTGGTCAAAAGTAAAAATAAAAAGCAGTACAGAAAAGGATTTGATGAAACTCTTTTCCTTTGCATGCATCACTGAAATAGATCAATACGTTGACTGAAGAATTGGACACCTCTAATTATATTTCTGTGGATCCCATTCTCTGTGTGCTCTGTTAGCTCTGTGTGGCAACTGGCAAATGGAGAACACCTCCAAGAGGAACCAGATACCTCTCTCCACCCAGCCCTGCAACAATGCCCTTTCTGCAGCCTCCTGTGCCTGATTATATTTAGGGAATATTGGACTTTTACACCCATGTGATTTTCTTTCGCTTGAGAGACTGGGCAGTGAATTGCAAACTATGCTGTAGAAACTGTAGAAAGCAAGTTTGTGACTTTTTTTTTTTTAACTAGTTTTACAAACAAACTCATTGAAAATTAGTCTGAAATAAATGCTGGCATTCGTAGCATTGATAACCATGTTCCTATGAACACAACTTTGTAATAATCAGAATTGAAACACATTTGGTCAGACGAAGATGGTGTTACCTTAGAGCTCCAGAACAGTGGTGGTTTCCTTGGAAAAAGGGTTTCCATGCCTCATGTCAGCTTGATGAGCAGTGCCAGTCAGGCTGAGGTCTGCGGCATTTCATCTCTATGTTTTACAGTAGCACATTGTGAAAAAGTTCTCTAAAAATGTCTCCAAAGGAAAATGTTTTCTAAGATTTGTTAGATTGCAGGCATGTTAGATGGCATTTGACACTGGGAATGCAAGTAGGGTAGGCTTGTCATCTACAAGATGCTAATATTAAGGAGAATTAATATAAATTGTTAGGTAGTGTTATATTGGTGGTACCTTTGGCCAAAATCTGTGGGGCAAACCTGGAATAAATGGATTCTTGGCTAAGCAGACAGCAGCCTAGTCACCATAATATAATATAGATAAAGAGCTCCAGAAAACTGTTGCAAGGATTTTCATCAGCTTCTTCTTGCCCAACCTTTTTATTTCCTCTACTTTTATATAATTTTTTAGCCTTACCTGCTGAAGGCCTAGAGATGGCAAAGTGGTTAAGCAGAGCAGAAGGAGAGGTGATCCTTTAGTTTTAAGGCCATAGCTGGGGAAAAAAGAAAGACTGTTTTCTGCCTCCAATTCTAGCTAGACTCTTGTCTTCAAAACCATATTTTAGTCAAATTGAATTTGTGTTAATTACATATTAATTAAATATGGTGGATTATGTAGAGCATGATGGAACTCATGCATGCACAAAAATGCAGATATCTTTGGGGATCTGTCTTTTTGAATCGTGCATGAGATGCTGCTGGAGCAGATACTTCTTGTCTGAGATGAGAGGATTTCTGCAAACTTCCCTATGTCAGTAGTAAACTGAGATGCTAGATAGCATCTAGTGTCAGGAATGTATACATTTTAATATTCTCCAATCAAAACTATTACACAAGCATAAAAATCCAGAGTTTATATTGGGTTTGTGGTGTTTGATTTTTTTTTCCTCTGGAAGTGTGGCAGAGCTTTTTAAAATGGTCCCGAAAATTTGTCATATGACTGTTGAATTTAACAGTAAACTGAGATGCTAGATAGCATCTAGTGTCAGGAATGTATACATTTTAATATTCTCCAATCAAAACTATTACACAAGCATAAAAATCCAGAGTTTATATTGGGTTTGTGGTGTTTGATTTTTTTTTCCTCTGGAAGTGTGGCAGAGCTTATCAAAAGGGTCCCAAAAATTGTGATAAGGCTCTTGAAACTTGCTGTTCTGATCTACATTACAGCAACTTGAACTGGAATGGAAATAAAACCAAAACCTTTTGCCTCTGAAACACAGACCTTATTCATGATACTTTGTAAAGGTTGGTGGAAAAAGTGGCTGAGTTTTCTGGGAATTTCATATTATGATTCTTTCCTCTGATCTTTGAAGTCTGGCAGGATCTAGCTATGTTGCTTATCCAACAGAAGTTCTACTCATGACAAATGTTTGTTCTAAAGATTTGCAGATTCTTAACCTTTAACATGTGTGGTTTCTCATGGTTTGGAAAGTATCCTTATGGGTATTCTCTTATGTAGAATTTCCTCCACGTGGCAACTAGGCTATTTTAGTAGTTTCAATAATTGTGTGTATTTTGGATCACTGGAAAATTAAGTTTAGCATTAAAAAGAAAAAATTCTCCATATCTAAAATTATAAATGTTACTGTCATTGTGGGATGAGTTTAACAATTACCAACATCAATTATTTTAACTTAAACATTAGCACTACATTTTTTTTGTAAGTGAGATGACCATTAGTGGAAACAAAATATAAATTTATGTGATGTGGAAAATCAGAAGTTTGTTTTTCATCTCTAACATAACCCAGAACTCCGTCTTGACTTTCTGAAAATTAATCCACCTGTTTAATCTGTGCTGAGCTACCTTTGCAATAAAATAATTAATTCATGCCTACCTTACTGCCCCTTTCTTTGTAGAAATGCAAAATTAATTGCATGCTAACACTTTTAAGTAATATAAAGTACACATTTCCTGAGGTCTGTGGCTGTAGAAAGGCAGATAAAGTCTTTGTGTAGAGTATGTACAGAATATTATAGATGGCTTCATTTTTCATTCTGTATAAGAATAATTATTTCAAGCTGCCTATTGACACTCCCTTTTAGTGTCTTAATAGTGGAAAATCTTCCCATTACAATGAAAGGATTTCTAATTCAGAAAAATAGTGAAACTTTAATACTTAAAAAAATGTATTTATTTAATAACAATTTATTTACATAAAGTTTGTATTACAAATTACTAGTTTTTAAGTCTGCCACTTGCTCAACATCAATTGCACAAGGATTTTTAAGAGTTTTTCAAAGCTGAGTTTTACAAATAAGCAGTTTTCCACCAAACTGAGCTGGAAATTTATTAGCAAATTTGGGGATCATTAACACAGCTGGGTATCCCATTTTATTCCTTTGACCATAGGACCAGTCAAAATTGACAAAAGGGTGTTCCTAAAGCTGTTATTAATGCTGGAAGAGGTTTGCTGCAAAACTTGTCTGCAAAACTATGTCTGTACTCACACATATGGAGATGGGTCTTAGAAACTAGTATTAGAAACATTTCAGCTGATGTGCTTGCTTTAGTGGTGACCACAGGAAGATATATATTTGTGCTTTCTACATTTTCCTTTGGGATGTGACTATCACGTTTCTGAGAATTTTTCTTCCAGCTCTATAATCAAGAAGATCCACGACAGGAGACGTAGCCTTTTTGGAGTGAAAAACAAATGCTTACCTTTTCTATTGCTCTCTAAAGGGAAGTTGTCCTACATGCCTGTAGCTGTTATATCCACTTTCCCTTGAGAAACTGGGGATGTGTGTGTTTTTTCATGAAAATAGACATCATAGGGCCTCAGATCAAGTGACATTGCTGGACAGAAGCTCTAATCTATCGCATCGTACCAATCATTTGGTTGCTATATTAGAGAGGAGAGGGAGATTGTTCTTTTTTTTTTTTTTTTTTTTGCTAGAAATTGTGAAAGGTTTTTCTACTTAGAAATGAAGTGAAATATGTTTTTGACAGATACTGCAGTACCTTTGGTTGTCATTATTGCAGGTAAGTAATGTTCTGTCTGAAAGAGAAAGGGGATCCATTGTATGCTCTAAGCAACTTTTTTGTTAGGCAGCACTTGCCTAGTGCCACAGAATCTTTTCCAGTTGATGCTGATAATGCAGAGAGCACATTCCTAGGCATCTGTTGCAGGGCTAGATCATAGACAATGGGGTGATTGTTTCGGGTTTTTTTCTTTTTGTAAATAAACTTCTTTCTTTTTCTTTTTTTTTTTTTAAATTTCTATAGGACCTGGGGATAACGAAAGTGGGTCATATGAAGCGAATTCTCCAGGGAATTAAAGAGCTCAGCAAGAACAACCCTTTGTCTGAAGTGTAATTACTCTGGTGCTCTACCTAGAGAGAGAAGGGAAAGTTGCTGGAGAAGCAAAGCTGTTGCAGGCACGTAGCTGTCTGTGTAGTTTACTCTATGGAAGAATAAGCACCGGTGTGTTTGTACAGGCTAGTATCTCTGAATTCTTGTATGGTGAAGAGCTTGCTGCAAGATTACAAAAGGATCTGTGCCAAAAAAGAAAAAGGAAAAAAAAAAAGGAAAAAGAAAAAAAAAAAAGGAAAAGGTGGTTTGCTCTGCAAAGATGTTTTCTTGATGTGCAAACTTGGCCAGTTCAGATAAGCACGTTTGGGTAAATGGATTGGTTTATGGTGAACTGTACTGACTGGAAAATATAATCAAGAAATGATTGCTTTGCTTACATGCAGCTCAGTATGCCTCTCTTTATGCTGCAGCAAGATACCACTGTACAGCATGAGGTTATCTAGTTAGCCTTTGGAGGCATAGCTCCATAAAACCTCCTGTGCAGGAGATGGGGAGGTTTGGGAGGTTAAACCCGTGAGCCGAGCAGTGCCGCAGGTGCCCAGCACCCACCGGCCACGCAGAAGGGGGAGAGATACCTTCTGATACCATGAATGCAAACTATAATGCATGGTGTGCCTGCCTGGATCGCCTGTTGTTCTGTTGCATGACACATCTGATACTTTAAACACTTGAACAACTTTTGTATCGGTTTGAATGAGATTTAATTTATTGCTACTTGAGCGTCTTGTTTTGTTTTGTTTCTGTTTCAGGCACTTTTCTATTCTTCAGTGTTGTGTTATGCCTAAAACGTGTTCTATGACAAAAGGATGTGTGGGTGTGGAAACTTAGCATTTGTGCCATATTCAGCAGATGATATGCAGTATATAGGGTTGAAACACTGTACAGTTAGATTTTTAAATATGCCATGTACAGAAGGTATATCAGGTAACTAACTTATGAGTATTTTTGAAAGACCGGTACCTCACAAAAATATCAGTTGGCTTCCTGCATGGAAAATGATAAAAGAATTTTCTCATGGTGCATTTTAATGTAGTTTTTCAGTTATCTTAAACATCTGTAGCATATTTGAACTGTTAGGCACTAATTGTTTTATTTATTCTGTTGTTCAAAAAGCAGGTTGAAAGATTAATGAAAATGACTGAAAAATTTTTACGGGAAACTTCATTTTATTTATCATACATGAGAGTTTGAAAATGTAGCAGCTGATTAGATTTTTGTGGGGTAAGCTTTTACACGTTACTTATTAACTATTTGAAAATGTCTCTGAATGCGTTTCTTTGCAAAGGCATCAACCTGTTTCTTCTCAGCACTCCTACGTTGGTAGATCATAACAATTTAAAAAAACAGACTGTAAGGTCTTACACTATGCATGCCAAGATGAATCCTGTGCAAGATAGTAATCCATGAGTGTAAACAGGATGAAAAAAGAAAATAATCTTTGTTGAGAAATTGCTTTAGACCAGAATTTATAAGGTTATTTACCATTGAGTTAAACGAAACATAACTTCAGAATCAAATTTCCTGGTTAATTTTTCACAAAAGTATGAAACTAGTAGAAAAGTAATTCACATATATCTGCAAAAACTCTCCATAAATGCTTGTGGTGAGATGATCTTGCACCACCTGCCAGAATACTTGCACAGAAACGCTCTCTCCTTGCTGCTCCCAACAACGTGTCATTGTGGCACGAGGGACACGTGACTTTTTCTTCATCTTGTATCTTTGACATTTCTTACAGGTTAAAGAGGACCTTAATATATATTTATGTTTTCCTTGTAAGCAGCAGAGTAAACTTTAATTTCTTTTTTCCAAAGCTTATTTTCCCTGTATAAAGGGGCCAATATCAAGTACTGCATCCTGGTTTTGCACTCCCTGTCTTCCGAGTATGATGGGAGTCATCCCTTGGAAAGTAGATAGGAATTGTCCCTGGGAAAGGAATATCTATTCCCCTCACTGTTTTCTTGTAAAAAAAAAGAAGAAGAAGAAGAAAAAAAAAAAAAAAAAAAAAAGAAGAAGAAAAAAATTAGCAAAACAGGCTGCATTTATATCCAATGATAGTACAATGCATTCTTGCTGCTGTAGGTTCAACGGGCGCCACTCTGGAAGCCCTGTGGACACAATTGATTATTCTGGTAAATAAACAAAAGTAAAAGCCTATATTCCATTACCTTTTCTGCAAAAACAAACCAAAATCCCTTTGCCAAGTGACACAATTTTCATGCTGTTGTATGAAAAGCATATGCACACAATGGAAAGTTAGGCAAACAATGGAAAGATTTTATTCTTTTTTTAATGTACTTGACATTCAACCCTTTAATGATTTTCAGATGGCATCTCTCAAGTCTTTGCAAGTTGTATTTCCTTTTTTCTTTGTTTCTCCATAAGTGTACAATTTATTTTAATGTTTGGCAGCATTCTAGTTTATTGATTTTACAGTAGACTATGTAGTAGACTAAGTTCATCTTCCTGGTTGATATAAGGACAAAATACATAGAAGAACTTCCTTTGCTTTCCTGATTGTAGGATACACACTCTCTTTCCAACTTTAAGTCCTTGCTATATGCCATGTGTTAAGACAGGCTATGGAACACGATCTCTTTGGGTCTCTGTAGAGGTCTATGCTGAGTACATTAGAAAATGGGAGCTGCTTTTAGGCAGGGAAAATGGACAAGTGTGGTTGGTAACACAACTTTCTTATGGCACTCCTCAGATTACCTCAGTATAGGACAACTAATCAATTGTCTTTGTATAGTTCATTTTTTAAATGACCACCAAAGAATTTAACTTTGATTGTCCTAAGCAGAACTTTTTTTTTCAATGTGCCAGTAGAAAAATATAATAAATTGTAAGCATCATTTATGCTGAATTCATTAGATGCCCAGGAGAGCAAATTTTGTGCAACTCTATGCCTTAGACTAGTGTTGGCTATCAAATTCACAGGTGTCTGACAAGAAGGATCAAAATGTTTTATGGGGTTCTTCTGCCAAGATCATGAGTCTTAATTGTGGTTTAGTGATGTGGCTTTTCTAAAGAAACACTTTTGAACACAGTGCTACTATCTCATGATTATTGTTGATTTCCAAGTATTGGGGTTTTTTTTCCTTAACTGCTGTCAGTCCCAGCTCCTAGACCTAAGGACATATATAGCTACATTTTTAATGAACTGAATTCTTTATAATTTAAGCCTCATGTTTAATATGCTTCAATGCATACATCCCAATATTTCAACAAAAATAAGGTAACACATCCCTAACAGTAGGGTGGTTGGTTGTTTTTTTGGTTTTTTTTAGAAAACACCTTATCCCAGTAGATCTTGTGTATCCCAATTCAACATGCTAAATTCATCAATATAAAAACAGTCACTCTAGAAAGTTTACTGGTTTTTTATGGTCAGTCAGCATACCTTAAAATCTGAAGGGAATACAAAGCAATTGGCATTTTTTTAAAGTCTCTGGTGTTCATATGGATGAAATGTCCTACCCTTCAGAAAGAGGAAGAGAAGAAATGCATGGTTTTAAAATGGCAGCACATTCCTAAGTGCATGTTTCTGTTTTGTCATTTTCAGATAGGACTTTTCCAGCTTACTGTATTCAATTGCTGTAGCAACCTCTGGTTCCTGCAGGTATTGCCTTTATAATGTCTCATGCCTTCTTCCTACAAACTGAATGAAATCAGGCAGACTCATGGTTTTAGGGGTTTTTTACTATACTTTCAAGAAAAAAACTGTTCAAAAACTGTTCAAAAATGAAATGTTTAATATTATAGCAATTGCAGTTTTTATTTATGACACATTTTTTATGTATTTTTCCTCCTGAACATCTTGTTCTTTCAAAGAAAAATATTTTTTAACTTGGAAGAAGAGTAAAATGCAACACGTGTGATCAAAACCCCTCCCAGATTATTTCAATCCAGTACTTTGTACTTCGGGACTGCAGTAAACATGCTTGGCCCTGTAAATCATAAATAGAAGTCATCTTTCCCTTTCTGTCTCTGCCCAAAGAAATTCATACTGCAATGTTGTATATCTGTAGTTCAAACAAGAGGAATTGATTGATTGATTTTTTTTTATAATAGCCCGTTTCATATTTGTGGAGAAACAGATAACCTGCCAATTTTAATTGAATGCAGCAATGCTGATTCTTGTAATAAAAATTTCATAATGCCTCGATAATGAACGAATCTTATTTTAAGAGTAAAATTACTAGTGTTTTTCAATGCATCCAGTCTTACTTTCTGGAAGACTGGCAGAAGACCTTTTTGCACATATAATGGAAAAATTAATATATAAAGCAAATATGAGGATATGTTCCACAGTGCTACATTAAAATATAGGTGTAAAACAATATATTATGGAAAATTCTGCAATGGACACGTAATAGAAAAACCCTCAGAGTGATTCCATTTTTCTTGATGCTTCCTTATTAATGATTGCATTAATAATGTTTACTGCTGTTTCTCCATTGCTCTCTCTGCGCCCCTAAGCATGAAGTTCTTGCATATCAGTTTGACAGCTCTGCTTCAGGAAGTCTTTGTGAAAGGTACAGGTCATAGGCAATGTGTGTTGTTGAGGATAAATGAGCTGGAGCAATATATTTAGCTTACAGCCAGGAAATCATCTTGTCATTTGTGTGAGAGCCACAGAAAAATATAAATTTATTTTTTCACCCTAATAACGTAAGTACCTCTCAACTGCAATACCCTGAGTGTTACATTTATAGCACAGGATTTCCCATTTTTTTATTCTGTTTTCATAGATAGGATGTTTTGTGGTATGATACTCATATCATCAAGGTTTGATGCTGCTTACTCTAACTGCAAAGATTTAATGTTTGCAGGAACTGTAAATGACTCTTGCTGTCTTAAGTAGAAGTATCTGATGGATTAATGAAGCTGAGTTTGGACAGGACTAAAAGTATCTCTGTTGCCTCTTCAGAGATGAATGATAGTGTCAGCAAGATTGATAAAGCATCACTTGATAATTGTCAATAGAAGATCTTTACTGG